ATTATTAACAGGGTTATAATTATGATTTTGTTACAATGTAAGTAAATAATGTAATGTAAGAGAAAAAATTCAGATTTTACATTTTACTAAAATATTATCTAAATAAGCGCCTTTCTACAACAACGCCACTGACTCCCAATGGGTAAATTGAGAGTTGCCTACCGGTCGAAAGTCGTTTCAAAACTTAAATGGATTATTTAAGTCAAATTTCTTGCAAATTTGGCACTGGCGAACCATATTTTATAGTTCTTGAACAGAAAATGTCAATAAAATAAACACTTAAGGACTACAAGCTAAGAAAATGCGTTAAAACAGCCGGGGACATAGCGGCAACAAAGCTTTACCGCACACGTGCGATGCGTACTACAAGGTAATAAATGAATGAATAGGCTCCCTCGCCTCTAATCGGTGTTGTCATATTGTAAAGAACTTATCCTTTTTAAACAGTATCCGACTTATAATTTAGTAGTATAAGGACTAATATCTCAATATATGTGTGTAACAAGAAAAAAAATATTGATAATATTAAAGACGTGACAACATAGGCTGGATGAGGAAGGCTCCGTCGACTGTACCCAGAAGTAAACATGTATACAAAAAATATTGTTTGACCGCGTTGAGATGTAAATAGTGTAGTCTATATTTTATTTTAAGTCTATGGGTATATCACTTTTAAAGGTCTCCCGCAGTTTGCCAAAAGCAGCCCAACCCAAACCTATTCTGTCTAACCCAAACCTAGTCTTTAATCCATTTTAATGCGAACTTCCGGTTTTCTAGTACTGCTATTAAAAATGAGTTGGCTCGTCTTGAAGGAGTAACTGTTTCAAGAAAGATCATAGCAAGAAGACTCCATGACAGGATTACATTTAAGGGGGCCTCTACGTGTTCCGAAGCTTAATTTACAGCATAAAATTACGCGACTACAACGGGCTGAGGAGATGAGCAAATGAACCTAATTGGAATTTCGTCATGTTTAGTGATGAAACAAGAATAGGCCTAGTGTCAGACTCGCGACGAACTTTGGTCTGGAGAGCATCTCGAAGACGAGCACGCTTGAATGTAGTTCCACTCCGTGTCCCGTTTCAAGGGGGAAACATTATGGTATGGTCAAGTAAAATGCACGCAGCTTGATCTCTTGTTTTTATTGATGGCACAATGACAGGTGCCTCACCCCAGTTTCCTTCAGGCAGAAATTTGCGCTATCGAAAGATGCGTACAATTTATCTTAGATAGGAACTATCGAAAACAGGAAATTGCCATCCTATCCGATAGTCAAGCAGCACTTAACGCGATCAACTCAGTAACCATCAATTCGCAGTTGGTCAAAGAATGCCTAGAGAAGCTCAACAAATTAGGCAAAGAAAATAAAGTCCTCCTACTCTGGGTGCCCGCTCACCAAGGGATAGAAGGCAATGAAAAAGCAAATGATCTAGCTAGAAAAGGAGCGAACACTCCACTAACTGGACCAGAACCGTTCTGTTTTCCAAACGGGAACCAACTGAAAGCGGAACTGAAGCATCTGGAAGACTCCATCCGTAACTTGGAATGGGTATCCTCCAACGGTCTAAGACACTCGAAAAAGTTCCTTAGAACTTATGACCGAGAAATCAAAGGTTTTCCTTGATTTAAGTAAAAACAATCTTCGGATTGTCACGGGGTTTCTAATAGGACACTGTCTCCTCAACGAACACCTCAGTAGGTTGAAACTGAGAAACAACGGCGAATGCAGATTTTGTGGGGAAAATGGGGAAACACCAGAACACCTTATCACTGAGTGCGCCGAGACGACGACCATTCGTGCCATGAACCTTGGTACGTCTGATGTCGAGGATGGAGAGCTGGCTTCTGTGGAGCCGTCTCAGATACTGGCTTTTCTTAAAGCCCTGAGACTGTATGATGAGTTATAACTCGTTATAACTCAAGAAAGGGGAACACACAGTAGATCTATAAGGTCGCGGTGATTAACTCCCCTCCTAAACATTCTACATTCTACAGGTGCCTCATATCTCAGAGACGTTTTAGAGCCTATTGTGCGTCCATTTCGAGGGGCAGTGGGGGATGAATTTGTTTACATGGACGATAATGCTTCTCCCCATCGCACTTTAGCGGTTCGCGAATTTTGTGAGGAAGAGGGTATAAGAAAACTGTGGTGGCCACCGATGTCTACAGATATGAATGCGATCGAGCATGCTTGGACATGCTAAAACGCCATATTGCCGAAAAGAATGCTCCCCCCGTACCTTAAATGAATTGAAAATTGCTGCGCGCGAAACATGGGAAGCCATTCCTCAACATCTTCTGGACAACTTAATTGAGAGCATACCACGTCGTTTCACAGCGTGCATTGAGGATCGAGAAGGCAATACAGACTATTAGTTGTGAGAAATAATTCAAATTGTTTTCAATATTTTCTGTTTAAAATGAAATTTGTTTTTGTTGATTTTCACTCATTATGAAATAAAATTATAATAACAGCCTAGTTGCACTTAGATTTTTAATTTTATATTAGTTAGTCGTGTAGTAAGCCAATATGTCCAAAAATATAAAATGAATCATATTAGGTCCAAAATAAAATAAAAATATCGTTATATACAATAATTTTGCCCATGTTTGTAGGTAATGTAAATTATAAAATGATGAATAAGTTTTCCCCATTTTATTTTAAAGAATAATATATTTGAAACTTTTTAAAGAACTATTGAAAATTGTTTATTTTCAATAGTTTCTACGAATTTCTTTTAGAATTATGAAAGATAAAAAAAAATAAATTAATTGAAAACATAATCCGGCCCTGATTGGAATAACAAACATGCCACCTTCAAATTTAATTTTTTATAATTTAATATTTACAGTGTACTTTTTGTAACTTTATATAAAGAATATAAATTAGGATATTTTTGACAGATCTTTGTAGAACAAAATCATAACAGATTTGATGTGACATAATTTGTGATTGTTATGTTTGACCAGGATGGGATTATTTTAAATTTTTGCCTAATTCCGTCTGATCACTCAAAAAAATTACTGAAAATGGGCAATTTCCTTCATTTTAAGGAGTTCTTTAAAAAGTGTCAAGTACATTTTTCTGTAAAATAAAATGGGGAAAAGTTATTCGTCATTTTTAAAATTTACATGGGATTTCCTATGTTCAGGTCGACGATGCAATACACGGTATATTAATAAAAAATATTTATAAAACATATACAGGGTGGCGCCTCTCATACGCCGCGGAAGCTCCAAGGAGAACGGTAGTTTATATCGAAATGAAATTTTGGCAGCATATGTAGGTTAACTGAAAGCATTTTATAAAAATATAAAGAATTATACAGAGTGTTTCCAAAAAAGTTACATATCAAAGTTGTGTTTTTTCTAATATTGTTACTAATATTCTAATATTAATACTATATATTATTAATTAATTTTCGGATTCTAGGAAAGAAATAAAGGTGAGTTTTATTCAAGAAGTATATACTTAAAATCTAAGGATTTGGACATATTTCACATTTTGTGAAAATGAAGAGGAAATTTTAAATTTAGTTAATAGCGAACTAAATTTTAGTTGACCTCGTATAGTCTGATATTTAATTACAGTAACCATTGTATGTTAAACCAAATTGAAATTTGACCCGAACAGTTATACAGGGTGAGACAAAATTAATATGGAACATTAGTCATTTTTAAAAGCAAGTTACTCCTTTATTTTAAATGGAACACCCAGTATATTATTCCGGTGTTCAATGAGGAATTTATATATCTTTAAAATACTATTTAGGTTGCCTATCCCTCAGACAAAGACTTTCCTAGACATTTTAATTTTTATGTTTTTGCGTCAGTAGACCTTTATTATTTGAAAAAATCTAGGTGGCTGTGATATACCTTTTGTTAATTTAACAAAAATTAAAGAATATAGATTAAAATACTCAACGGTAATAAAAAGATACACGATTAAAACATATTTTAATTATTACAGAATTAAAACTAGATATAAGCCTATAATTATGTTACAAAAAATATCTAGTTGAAATCAAATGCTTAAAATGCTTCATTTCCTGTTAACTGCATGAAATGATTGTTTTTCAAAAGGATCTTTTCATTTTAAAAGGCATATGTGGAGTTATACCTCGAAAAGCAGCTACAATAATTTCTCTCATGTTGTCGACAATAGTCTTTAACATATCCCCATAAAAAAATCCAGACTAGATATAATCAAGAGCATTTAAGTATTCTATTAATTCTTTCTGATGCAGGATAAGTTTGCATTTTCGGCAAATTTCTGAGAAGAAGGTTGGACTAATTAGACAGCTATGTTGAAGTAACGTCAGACCTATCACAGCCACCTAGGTTTTATCAAATAATAAAGATCTACTCATATCAAATCATGTAAATGAAAATATCTAGAAAAATCTTGGTTTGAGGGGTAGGCAACCTTAATAATAGTATTTTAAAGAGACATTAATTCTCCATTGAACATCGGAATAATATATTGGGTGTTCCATTTAAAATAAACGAGTAACATGCTTTTAAAGGTGACCAATGTTCAATATAATTTTTTCTCACCCTGTATAACTTTTTGGATCAAGTTTTTATTTGATTTAAAGTACAATAGTTAATTTAACTACATATTAAGCTATACCGGGTAAATTCCAATTTAGGTAGCTTTTACTGTAATTTAAAAATTGTTTTTATTTTTAGAAAATGTTAAATATATCCAAAACCTTACATTTTAGTCATATACTTCTGTTATAAAACTTAACTTTATTTTTCTCCCAGAATCCGAAAATCAATTAATATATAGGGTGATCCATTTCAAAAAACACAACATTGATATGTAACCTTTTTTGTGGACACCTTGTAGAACTCTCTATATTTTTAAAAAGTTCTCTGATTAACGTACATATGCTCACAAAATTTCATTTCAATACAAACTGTCGTTCTCCTTGGGGCCTCCGCGGCGTATGAGAGGTGCCACCCTGTATAAAATATGTTTCATTACTAGTTATTTATTTATTTTCAAACTTACATGTCTCTATCTTTCAAAATATTTTCATTGTGAACTTTGGTAAGTTCCTTCGACAATTCATTGATACATGTCCGACACAAATGTATTAAATCTGTTACATCGTTTCCAGTTTGCTGTAAAGATGTTTCTTTTTAGAATAAAAGTTAGAGTTTTATTACAAATTATTACAAACCTTTGGTTTAGACCATTCTGCATTGAACGAAACGGTTTTCAAATGCCTCTTTATTGCGTCTATGTCTTCCAAAACAATATCTCCTAATTCAGTTGCTTCTTTGAACTGTTGGTCTTTCAAATCCAACTTGTAATATAATGTCGTTTTCTCCAATTCGTGGTCCGTTTTTAATCTTTGCATTGCAACTAAAAAATATTTGCTTATTCAGTGCTATCTTTGAGTGCTATAGATAAAAGTTGATCCAGATTTGAAGACAGTTTTAATTTCAGTCTTGAAATCTGTATCGACTCTGAAGGTGCGTCCACATTGTTCGTGATCCTGCTCGCGCTCTTGCTTTTGATTGTGCTTGCGTTGCTTGCGCTTCCTGTTTGTCGTGTTTCTCAAGATCTTTCGGCTCGCAAGCGACGGCCGGCGTCCACATTGTGATGTAGTGCTTGCGTCCGTGCTGTTCGGACATGGATGATACCGAAGTATTTTTAATTGCGACCGCTAGTGCGATCATTATTGAAAAACGAAGGAGACAAAGAGAAAAAAAGGCGAAAGTAAATATTTACGCGATTTACAGACAGAATGTTTTTTAACATTTTTTATCGCATATCCGCTACTGATTTTGAAAGATGTTGATATGATCCCTTCCCCGACACAAACAGTCTGTCTGTAGACAAGAAATTGTAGAGAGAAACAAGCCCTATAACATAGGATACAACATTTTAATGAACAGTGCTTTCCATAAAATCAATAAAATGAAAAATATACGAAATAATATACATGTACTGATTTCTTTCGAAAATCGACAACTATGAAACTGTGATACCTTCCCCGACACAAACAGTACATTGTGAGACAGGAAATTGTAGAAAGAAACAAGCCCTATAACATAGGATCAACATTTTCATGAACAGTGTTTTCTATAAAATCAATAAAATGAAAAATATACGAAATAATATACATGTACTGATTTTTTTCGAAAATCGACAACTATGAAACTATGAACCCTTCCCGGACACAAACGGTACATTGTGAGACAGGAAATTGTATAGAGAAACACGCCCTATAACATAGGATACAACATTTTAATGAACACTGCTTTCCATAGTATCAATAAAATGAAAAATATACGAAATAATATACATGTATTGATTTCTTTCGAAAATCGACAACTATGAAACTATGATCCCTTCCCCGACACAAACGATACATTGTGAGACAGGAAATTATAGAGAGAAACAAGCCCTATAACATAGGATACAACATTTTAATGAACAGTGCTTTCCATAAAATCAATAAATTGAAAAATATACGAAATAATATACATGTACTGATTTCTTTCGAAAATCGACAACTATGAAACTATGATCCCTTCCCCGACACAAACGATACATTGTGAGACAGGAAATTATAGAGAGAAACAAGCCCTATAACATAGGATACAACATTTTAATGAACAGTGCTTTCCATAAAATCAATAAAATGAAAAATATACGAAATAATATACATGTACTGATTTCTTTCGAAAATCGACAACTATGAAACTGTGATACCTTCCCCGACACAAACAGTACATTGTGAGACAGGAAATTGTAGAAAGAAACAAGCCCTATAACATAGGATCAACATTTTCATGAACAGTGCTTTCCATAAAATTAATAAAATGAAAAATATACGAAATAATATACATGTACTGATTTCTTTCGAAAATCGACAACTATGAAACTATGAACCCATCCCGGACACAAACGGTACATTGTGAGACAGGAAATTGTATAGAGAAACAAGCCCTATAACATAGGATACAACATTTTAATGAACAGTGCTTTCCATAGTATCGATAAAATGAAAAATATACGAAATAATATACATGTATTGATTTCTTTCGAAAATCGACAACTATGAAACTATGATCCTTTCCCCGACACAAACAGTACATTGTGAGACAGGAAATTGTAGAGAGAAACAAGCCCTATAACATAGGATACAACATTTTAATGAACAGTGCTTTCCATATTATCAATAAAATGAAAAATATACGAAATAATATACATGTATTGATTTCTTTCGAAAATCGACAACTATGAAACTATGATCCCTTCCCCGACACAAACAGTACATTGTGAGACAGGAAATTGTAGAGAGAAACAAGCCCTATAACATAGGATACAACATTTTAATGAACAGTGCTTTCCATAAAATCAATAAATTGAAAAATATACGAAATAATATACATGTACTGATTTCTTTCGAAAATCGACAACTATGAAACTATGATCCTTTCCCCGACACAAACAGTACATTGTGAGACAGGAAATTGTAGAGAGAAACAAGCCCTATAACATAGGATACAACATTTTAATGAACAGTGCTTTCCATAAAATCAATAAAATGAAAAATATACGAAATAATATACATGTACTGATTTCTTTCGAAAATCGACAACTATGAAACTGTGATCCCTTCCCCGACACAAACAGTACGTTGTGAGACCGGAAATTGTAGAAAGAAACAAGCCCTATAACATAGGATCAACATTTTCATGAACAGTGTTTTCCATAAAATCAATAAAATGAAAAATATACGAAATAATATACATGTACTGATTTCTTTCGAAAATCGACAACTATGAAACTATGAACCCTTCCCGGACACAAACGGTACATTGTGAGACAGGAAATTGTATAGAGAAACAAGCCCTATAACATAGGATACAACATTTTAATGAACAGTGCTTTCCATAAAATCAATAAAATGAATAATATACGAAATAATATACATGTACTGATTTCTTTCGAAAATCGACATCTATGAAACTATGATCCCTTCCCCGACACAAACAGTACATTGTGAGACAGGAAATTGTAGAGAGAAACAAGCCCTATAACATAGGATACAACATTTTAATGAATAGTGCTTTCCATAAAATCAGTAAAATAAAAAATATACGAAATAATATACATGTACTGATTTCTTTCGAAAATCGACATCTATGAAACTATGATCCCTTCCCCGACACAAACAGTACATTGTGAGACAGGAAATTGTAGAGAGAAACAAGCCCTATAACATAGGATACAACATTTTAATGAACAGTGCTTTCCATAGTATCAATAAAATGAAAAATATACGAAATAATATACATGTACTGATGTCTTTCGAAAATCGACAACTATGAAATTATGATCCCTTCCCTGACACAAACGGTACATTGTGAGGCAGGAAATTGTAGAGAGAAACAAGCCCTATAAGATAGGATACAACATTTTAATGAACAGCGCTTTCCATAAAATGAATAAAATGAGAAATAAATAGATGAGATCAATGTGTTGCCGACAGATTGCCCTAGACTTATTTATTCGGTGCGGCCAACGCAAAAAAGACGCTAAGCAAACTTAATCTTATGATGGTTTAAGTATTTGTTTATTAGCAAGAAAGCGTATCGGTCTTTTGTTACAAAGTACTGATTGACCCTTTGATTTTGCGCCCCCAAAATGTTGCACCTACGTGCGTGCACGCACTGCACGCTCGCCAGGAACGGCCCTGTTCACGTGTTCGTTCGGCCTACTCGCGAGCAATGTGGACGCAGCTTAAGAAGTGTCCTGGCAAAAACAAGACTGGAGTCATTGCAACAAAAACAAAAAAGTGTATATACCAGGTACTTTGTGAATGCAATGAGTCGTATATTAGAGAGACTAAATGTACTCTAAATGTACGATTGACCGAGCAAAAAAAACATGTACAAAAAGATGAAATGAAGTATTGTGGACCATGTTTGGTCAAAACAGCACAATATAAAGTAGTTAGAAGCTCGGGTTGTCCACAGGGAATCTCATTGGAAAAAGCGTGAATTTAAAGAGGTCGGTTTTATTGCAAATAATAACATTTTTCGAATTTATATCGCCTGGAGTCCGGAGTATATATTTACCTTTTTGATTTTGAACCTTAATCGTCGAATTCCTCAGTTGCTGCTCCATAGTATCGTTCTGTTTTTGGAACAGACACAGTTCGCCTTCTAAGCTCTCGATTTTCTTAAACAACGTTTCTAATTTCACCTGTAATTTCTCATTGTGTCTAAAAACGGCCTCCATCTGACCGTCACACGACACGTCAGCGTGCGGATATCGCAGTTTATGATCGGGAGACATTTGGTATTTTCTAGCGATTTTCTCGTATTTTCTGTATAAGTTCTCGTTCTCGATTTGTAGCTGTCTGTTTTGTTTCACCAGTGAATTTAGTGTAGTTTGTAATGTTCGTTCTTGAGCTCTGCCAATTTCCAACTGCTGCATCCAGATGTCGTTGGCTATTGAGCAGGATCTTCGTTCAGCTTCCCACTGCAGTTTGGTGTGATAAGATATCGAGTTCACTAAAATATACGTGTAAATAATAAAAATCAATTTTTTTAATAATTTGGATTATTTTACTTATTTCTTTTTGATGAGTTTGTTCTTGTATGTGCTTTGTTATAAGATTGATTAGGTGGCTTTCGTTTTCATGCATATTATTGATAGTTTCTTGGATATACTGTAGAGCGTCAATTAATGATATGTTCAAAGTTGGTTTTCCGAAGTTTCTAAAAATGTTTTTGTATCATTTAAGACAGCAATTTTTGTTAAGTATAATATTGCTTACATAAAGGCAGAAATTATTTCATTGCCTTCGTTCTTTGCATCTTCGTGTGAAATGGATTTTTCGTCCTGGTTTTGTAAATTTTGATTTTCTCCTATCAAATTAATTAAAGGGCCAGCCGTATCTTTTCCTGGTAAATCTAGTGAATGCTAAAATAGTGTAGTGTAAGTGTTAGTCGATAAATTTAATTTATTAATAATTTAATTATTAATGTGTCTAAGGGTCCGGGCTTATGATCAAGAAAAATCACAGATCTTCCTGGGTCTGAGTAAGAACAATCTTCGGATTGTCACGGGGTTTTTAACAGGACACTGTCTCCTCAATGAACACCTCAGTAGATTGAAACTAAGAAGAAACGGCGAATGCAGATTCTGTGGGAAAGATGGGGAAACACCAGTACACCTCATCACTGAGTGCGCCGAGACGACAACCATTCGTGCCATGAATTTTGGTACGACTGATATTGGAGATGGAGAACTACCCTCTATAAAACCGTCCCAGATACTGGCTTTTGTCAAAGCCCTGGGACTGTATGATGAGTTATGATTCAAGAAAGGGGGACACAATGGATCTGTAAGGTCGAAGTGATTAACCCCCCTCCCACTCATTCTAAATTCTAATTCTAAAGGGTCCGTTCTACAAAGCAAGTATATACCAGGTATAACCAATTCTTGGTTCGGAGAATAATAATTCCGAATTTATATTTGCTTTGTAAATTCGACCCTAAAGAAATCATATATTTATCTAAAATAAGTTTGTGTTTATCTACAGAATTATCACCATAAACAGCATTATAAATAAATTATTTACATAGCTGTAATATGTAATGTATAGTACTTATAATGATATTTATGATATAATAAAATTAAATAAGGATTCTTGCCACTTAACTGCTGATATAGAAATTTAATTCTACGCTGTGTTTGTCATAATGTGGATCAACCTGCTCTCACTACCGGTTTCGGAGCCCTACTCCATCATCAGGTGAGCTTGGGCAGATACCACAAAGTGATAACCACAGAGCAGAGTAGTTAATTCCGACTTGTCGGAAAGTATCGGTTAGATAATTAAGTCCCGAACGGGAGATAGCGGCCTGCTTGCAATGGTAGTACTTTCGTACAACCGAGGCGCAACTATATCGCAATATAATAGCGCAACTATCGATAGTAAAAAAGATGGTAAAAGCCTTTTTTTCAGGCAAGCCAAATTATAAAAATGGAAAACAAATTTCTTGCAGTATAGGTATATAATAAAATTATATAAGGATTCTTGCCACTTAAATGCTGATATAGAAATTTAATTCCACGCTGTGTTTGTCATAATGCGGATCAACCTGCTCTCACTACCGGTTTCGGAGCCCTACTCCATCATCAGGTTAGCTTGGGCAGATACCACAAAATGACAACCACAGCGTAGAGCAGTTATAATTTCGACTTGTCGGAAAGTATCGGTTAGATATTAAGCACGCAGGTCGTCTACCATTGCACGCAGGCTGCTATCTCCCGTTCGGGACTTAATGACAAGAATCCTTATATAATTTTATTATATACTTATATTGCAAGAAATTTGTTTTCCATTTTGATATTTATGATGTAACGTAATACCGTATGATCGAAAAAAAACGGCGTCCAGTTGGCTTGGAAATGACGATCGATGACATTTCCCATCTAAATTTACATATAAAATGACAGCGATCTTCATTTCATAGCCATCGTTGACGCCGTTTTTATTCGATCATACGGTACATCTGTAATATAATTAAAAACAAATATAAAGTTAAGATATACTTTTTATAATATAATAGAAATATTTACTTAAATATTTTAATATTGCAAAACATACACCACGTTTGTTTTTAATTAATAAGCTACCCCTTGTGCTTTCTTGGACATTGCGGGGGCGTTTGACAACATACCTCACAAGGTGGTCAAGTGATCTCTAGAAACAATGGGGGTGAACAGAACGATAATTTGCTGGTTTTGGGAAATGCCCACAACGCTGACAGCAGAGGCTCAGATGGGTATAGTAAACGCCACGAATGTTTGGGAGTGATTCATCGGTCGCTACCTTTTAATAAGAAGACTAAGGAAGGAGCATATCAAAAATCTTAGGTACACCGCGATGGGCCTCAAATATGGCTGACTTAAATTCCGGTTAATCAGTGTCGTTCTAATTTTATTTAAAAAATGTAAAACTATGATGTAGGGTAGACGTGGGGTAGACTCAATAATTTGTTGTTTTATTTTACGTTGTGAATAAATGTTGGTAGTTATTAAAATTGTTATAAAAATATATAATTCTAATAAAAATAGATAAGTTATAATAAGTATTTATTACCACAAACATCCGATACCATAGACTTAAAATAAAATATAGACTGAGCATCTCATTCATAAATAGCTGGAACATGCGGTCAGACACTGTCTTGTTATTGTTGTGTTATTGTTTTAGGTTATAACGAGTGCGACACGAGCGATAGATAGGTTGTCTCTGTCGTAACGGTCATTCCCTGACGACTCTGCCGAGAAACACAACACAAACTTTCGTTTCTCAAGTACACCTGAACTCTCCGTATCATAGCCGGGTAATTTTTTTATTTTAATGAAGCTATAATTAAATTAAAAATATATCGTATTTAAACTTTTTTATATTTTATTAAGATTTAGGACAGGTTTTTTAAATATAAGTTTAGAAAAAACAATTTAGAGTCCAAAAAGGATAAAAATAATAAAATACACGTTATAGAAGAAATTTTATAATTGAAATTAGGTAATTTTTGAAATTAATAATAAATTATTAATTTTAGTCAAACATTTACAACCCCTAATATTAATCAAAACAGGATCTATTCCACAGATATAATAGAATCGGCGACAGGGAGAGAAAAAAAAATATGATTGTTGTAATTTTGTTTCTGGTTAAGTGATGTCTTATTATGTAAATTAGAGAAAACATAAATCTGTTCCATTAAAGCAAGGAAGGTGATAAAATAAAAACTACATTTATTTAACTCGGTACTGTCTTTATTATACCAGGTGCGTCTCAAAAGTGGCTCATCCCCCATAATTTTTTTATATTTTCAAATAAAAAAACAAGATTTAGTATGTTAGTATATGAAATAAATTAGGATTGATTGACGCATTCAATTGTTTTTGGTCACTTCCTTTTTAACCGGAAATGACTATAACTTTTAATTTTTAAACGGCGCCCTCGGTATATTTCTACTTTATTCGATAGAAAATGACACTCTGAATAGAATGACATATCATATGTCAACTTTGACATTTTCGCATATGGTTTAATTGTAATTGTAACACGCGGTTCATAACGACAATTTGACTCGAAATACCAAGTATGTGGTATCAATATATTCATAAAAAAAAAAAAAAAAAAAAAAAAAAAAAAAAAATTAGACGATCAAAACTATTTTTCCAAGGCTCCTTGATTAAAACTTAGTGGATTGAAAAAAACTGGATTGAAATTTAAAATAGGATATGTTTTTAAGCGACAATGTCAAAGTTGACATATGATATGTCATTCTATTCAGAGTGTCATTTTTTATCGAATAAAGTAGCAATATACCGAGGGTGCCTTTAAAAATCAAAAGATGTAATCATTTCGGTGAAACAGGAAGAGACCAAAAACAATTGAATACGTCAATAAATCCTAATTTATGTCATATACCTACTAACATACAAATCTGTTTTTTTATCTGATAAAATAAAAAAGTTATAGGGGTGAGCTGGAGACGACCCGGTATATTAAAACTTTTGGGACACTTTTGAGACGACCCGGTATATTAAAAAATATTGTTTCATAATGTAATATCATTTTAAAATTCTTGTATGTTATTTTAGATTCTGAAGATAATTTTAGAATAAACCGGAATATATTTTTAATAAAAACATTATTAATTATTAACAGGGTTATAATTATGATTTTGTTACAATGTAAGTAAGTAAATAATGTAATGTAAGAGAAAAAATTCAGATTTTACATTTTACTAAAATATTATCTAAATAAGCGCCTTTCTACAACAACGCCACTGACTCCCAATGGGTAAATTGAGAGTTGCCTACCGGTCAAAAGTCGTTTCAAGACTTAAATGGATTATTTAAGTCAAATTTCTTGCAAATTTGGCACTGGCGAACCATATTTTATAGTTCTTGAACAGAAAAAGTCAATAAAATAAACACTTAAGCACTACAAGCTAAGAAAATGCGTTAATACAGCCGGGGAGATAGCGGCAACAAAGCTTTACCGCACACGTGCGACACGTACTACAAGGTAATAAATGAATGAATAGGCTCCCTCGCCTCTAATCGGTGTTGTCATATTGTAAAGAACTTATCCTTTTTAAACAGTATCCGACTTATAATTTAGTAGTATAAGGACTATTTAATACATCTCTGGAATATTAAAACCTACTTTATTAAACTGTAGTATTAATATCTCAATATATGTGTATAACAAGAAAAAAAATATTGATAATATTAAAGACGTGACAACATAGGCTGGATGAGGAAGGCTCGGTCGACTGTACCCAGAAGTAAACATGTGTACAAAAAGGTTGTTTGTCCGCGTTGAGATGTAAATAGTGTAGTTATAATAAGTATTTATTACCACAAACATCCGATACGCTACTGAAGCAGGTAAGTCAAATTAACGTATCTAAATTTTTTGACATCTAATCTTTGACAAGTAATAAATAAAAGCTAAAATGCAAGAAAAATATATAATTTAAGTGAATTTCATAAATGATCGGTTTACTACACGTATGTATACGTGTTCTTTTTATATTTATATATTTTATATCTTTTTGTATTGTTTATATTTTTACGTGTATTATTTTGTAATATCTGTTAAACGATGTGCCTGCCATACGATAAATAAATAATAAATATACACGTATGTATATTATATAGTCACTAGCGAAAAGTTGTTCCATTATTTCACTCAATTTTTGCCGAGATCTACCGTACGCTACACAACCAACTATTTTAGAGTCTTTTTCGATAAATCGCGATAGTGTCACTGTTAATTTAAGTGCTGCCACAATTTCCATCTAGATTTACTACCTTTATACAACTATCAGTAGAAGAATAAATAATAAATAATAAATAACATAAAATAAGTCCCGTAAAGACTGAGAAATCCACAAAATTTCAAATCAAATTCAAATGTGTCAAATGAATCGTCAAACAGAACTGTCAAGGATCCCCACTCTAGAGTGCTTTTTCCTTAGTCTTCTTATTCAAAGGTCGCTACCATGTGAACTAATCTGTTCAAGGTCACATAAAACTTAATTCCGGTGCCGTGGTGTTTCAAGTCATATAATAATCAATATATAATCTGTTGTAATTTGTTGTTTTAACTGTCAAAGTCTTGTCAAAACATATATTTGGTTATAAATATAAACTGGAATGCCCCATTGGTCGTACTGCAAGCACACCAATGGACTGACGCACAAAAACAAATCAATCAAAGAAACCCGATATACTCGTAGTATCGTCTTTGTCAATCACGCTAACATTTTAGAATAAGTAGGAGGAGCGCAGGCAGATGATTAGATCGGGCCTTTAAAAACCTACGTCTGCGGTAAAAATTTACGTTTTTAATGTAAAAATGATAGCGCGCGTGTCGATTCTAACTTCATCAAGTGATGAATCACTCCCAAACATTCGTGGCGTTTACATTACCAAAACTGTAGCTTTTAAAACAACGCAAGGATCTCCACAAGGTGAAGTAACTTCTCTTCTACTGTGGAGCTTGGTAGTGGATGCTCTACTAGAAACATTTACTCTAGTGGGAATACACTGCATACGACTTTCATGCCTCTGCATCACAGGTGCCATGAGAACATGACCAACAGCAGCAACAGAAGTCATTCTAGACCTAACACCACTGCGCATTGTTGTCGGTAGCGACAATGGTTAGAATGGTCAATGACGAGGAGAATTGTCAGCTCAGGGGCTTGGAACGCACTCAAAAGGAAGATTCCACTCCTCCAACTCTCAGTGGATGTCATACCAAGAATGTAAAATTTTGAGAAACACCTCATTGTAGTATTGAGTAATAAATAGAATTGGAAGAGAGAAACGTTTGCTCTGCAGGTAAAAGATTATACCATAACGTGGTATACTGATGCTTCCACATCCAAAGCATTACTAATTTTTACTACCTGAAAAGTGGGTTACATCACACAAACTTCGAACTGGAGAATTATATGCTTTCAATAACTGCACTAGTACAAATCAAAATACCTAAATATTAAGACACTTAACTTGATATTATGTCATAGCCACGATTTTAATATATTTCAGTGTGATCAAAATGAACGGTAACCGGGACGGCATCGGCGTGAAATAAACTTACTCGGACCGTTCTGATTTCTGCCGTACCGAGCGCTGCTGTTGAAATTTTAATAGTGTATTGAAATACACCAAGGCTATAACGATTGAGAACATTTTTAGTAAGTGGAAACGCGTTGTTATAAACTGGACGCCTGCGTTTAATGACGTATCAGATTTAGACGTCAGAGTTGTTTGGCCTTCTGCTAAGGCAGTGTTGGATGAACAGCAGCAATGGAGGTCATTCTAGACCTCGCACTACAGCATATTGTCCTCGGTAGTTGTGCCAATGCGACAATGATTAGAATGGTTGTTGACGGAAACAGTACTGGGAAAATGTTTAGGTCAGGGGCTTGGAAAACTCTCAAAAAGATAATTCCACTTCTTCAACTCCCAGTCGATGACATACCAAGAATTTACAGTTTTGAGAAACACCTCACTGTAGTATTGAGTAATAAAAAGGATTGGAAGGAAGCAAAGTTTGCTCAGCATGTAAATTACCATACCATAACGTGGTATACTGATGTTTCCAAAACCAAAGTAGGGATAGGAGCATTTAGGGCGAAAACTACGTACTCCAAACCAATGAGCACCTACCCTAGCATCCTTCAGGCAGAAATTTACGCTATCGAATGATGCGTACAAATTATCTTAGATAGGAACTATCGAAAACAGGAAATAGCCATCTTATCCGATAGTCAAGCAGTACTAAACGCGATCAACTCAGTAATCATCAATTCGAAGTTGATCAAAGAATGCTTAAAGAGTTCAACAAATTAAGCAAAGAAAATAAATTCCTCATACTCTGGGTGCCTGCTCACCAAGGGAATCTGTGCCAAGGGATAGAAGGCACTGAAAAAGCAAATGATCTAGCTAGAAAAGGAGCGAACACTCCACTAACTGGACCAGAACTGTTCTGTTTTCCAAACGGGAACCAACTGAAAGCGGAACTGAAGAATCTGGAAGACTCCATCCGTAACCTGGAATGGGTGTCCTCCAACGGTTTAAGACACTTGAGAAAAAGTTCCTTAGAACTTACGACCGAGAAAAATGAAATGTTTTCCTTGATTTAAGTAAAAACAATTTTCCGATTGTCACGGGGTTTCTAACAGGACACTGTCTCCTCAACGAACACGTCAGTAGGCTGAAGCTGAGAAACAACGGCGAATGCAGATTCTGTGGGGAAAATGGGGAAACACCAGAACACCTTATCACTGAGTGCTCCGTCGGAACGTGCTTCAGGGAACGTGCCCATGTTCCGGGAATGTTCCGGGAACGTTCCTCTAAGGTCGAGAAAGTGACTGAAATTCTGGAAAGTTGTATTTTGATGCGAGTTGTAATATTCCTCGGAACATTCTCCACTTTTGGGGAAGTTTTCTTAAATTTAGGGAAAGTAATCAAAACATTGGAAAAGTTGTGAACAGGCCACGCCACAAATAAAAAGAAGAAGAGAAACTAGGTTATAAACATAACCTAAATTTGTTTCTTTTATCGACTTGTGTTGCTTCTGTTGTTATTTATATATTATTTTGTTGTTATTAAAAATATTTTGAAAGTTATATTTTTTTAACTTTATCACTTTTCTGCTTTGGGGAATATTTCCGGGAACCGTCCCGGAAAGTTTCCAATTTTTCATAACATTAAATTTTTTTTCCATTTCCATCACTATCCCGATTTGGGGAATGTGCCTGTGAACGTTCCCAGGAACATTACCTCAAAATAAGATTCCCGGAATGTCCCCATCTCTACTTACATGAGATGTATTTGTTTCACTACATACACTATCCCATTGTTTCAACTTCCTTTCATACGTCTGAGAGTGAAGTTCCACTTCTTCCACGTGAACACCGAACGATATTGTACTCCCGCCGCTCAGATTCTGCGAGGACACGTGAAGTTCTTTCACCTCGTTACTGCGACACCTACTCGCTCTCCTTCTTCTCGCCCTCCTCACTATTGCCGAAAATATATTACCAGATTTCTTCACCTTTACACTGGAAGCGTTCGAATCGGGTTTTTCCAGACTCGATACTCCGTCTTCTAGCTGTTCTGGAATGGTTTCGCTGAAAATTTCTATTCCGGTGTCCTTGAAAAAGAAAAGAATGAAGCATGAGGGGTTGCGTTTCTTTAAATCTTTGATTACCTTTGTCGCGGAACGTATGAAATGAATATTTGTACGCAATTTGACGAGATAATACGTTTCACGAGAAATTGTAGTTTCAATGAATGGTGAAAAATGACATTGCATCAGAAGTTTTTTGCATTTAGGACAGGAATAAACAAAACGGCTTTGACATAAAGGGCATTTTTTAGCTCTAATTGCTATTCTCTGTAAAATTGTGATAATGAAGTTTACCTATAGTTTGTAGGTATATTAAAATATCTTTACCTTTTCTTTTTTGTCTTCGGCCATTGCGAAGCAGATGGACAAAAACTATATTTCAAAAATACCTAAGAATTACTAAACTGTCAAATGGTGTCAATAAGACATACTTAATGTATATAGGTGAAACTGGTACACCTAGTAGTATACAGAGTCTCCCACTTGGAACAACTATCAAAATAAGTTCGATATTGCAAAGGAGTACTGTTTCGGATTTTTTTTCACTGAAAAATTGCTTCACTGAAAATGATGCTCCTATTAATTTATTCAAAATTAATTTCAAGGAAACTTTAAAAAATCTAGGTTTTCAACTGGAAAACACCATTTTTAATATTTTTATTTTAATCGTCATCAAATATAGAGACATTTTGGTGTAAGGTTTCATGGTTTCAAATATTTTTGCTAATCAGGAGGGTGGAGGGGCTTAATGCACAAAGCCTATATCGCTTTATTTTTAAATACCGTTTGTGTGGTATTATCTAAATCCTAATTAACGCATTTTGGAATAGAAAAATGTTAGGAAGCAAAGATTTTAAGAATTCTAGTGTTTGAGTGAGCTGACTCCCGACTTTATATACAATTTTGATTGACCAATATTTAGGCGCATTAAATGAATTTTGAAATTCAAATGAAATTTAAGATTCAAATATAAAATCATATCGTGGCAAAAGAAACAAAAATAGCAGTTATAGGCTGCTAGGAAGTAGGAAACGATGATCTGCATCAGTACGGTGTATTTAATTTATAAGTTGTAGTAGTTACTATAACTTTGACAGAATATTAATATTCTGGTCATACATAACTTTAATGATAATTTTTATTTGTATTTTTAGTGATATTCAAAGAATATATTATGTCATATGTCAAATTAAATACTTTGCCAACTTCTGCATCATCTATACTAATATATAAAATCCTTAAAACGGTGTTTACACTAGATGCAATTGGATGCCACGCAATTTTTAAAAATTGCATGCAATTCGGTTGCACGCGCAATTTACCGTTTACATAGGGTGCAATAAAATACATGCCATAATTTTGAGAATCTATTGTGCCAACCTAAATAAAATGAATATATCTTCGAGGTATCGTTGTGTATGTCTTATTAAAGGTTTTTAGATTTTGTAGTTTGAGTTTGTATCTTAATTTATTATTATTTGTACCTATAACATGAATTGTAAAACAGAAACAATATTATTTTAATTATAAATTTGATTTTTTTGGTTGGTAGAAGACAAGGGTAGAAGCAAAAATTGCATGCTACGTGCAATCAAATTAGCGCGTGTTCTAATTCCATGCAATGCAATGAAAATTGCATCAGCTGATCGAAAAGTGAGGTGCGCATGCGTTCGGGCAACTAAAGCCCCGTTCTCAGAACTGCGTCGTGTCGACAGCGACACTGATTGACACTTCAAACGACCAATGGGAGCTGTACTAAATTTAAAATTGACAGCTGTTTGAATTTTGTACAAATCTGATTGGTTCTTTTGACGTGTCGCTGGCGAGAGAGTTCTGAGAACGGGGCTTAAAATTGCCATTGCACCGTATTGCACGTAGTGTAAACGGGCCTTAAGAGACTGACTCATTGATTAATCACGATCCTGCTCAAACCACTCAACGTAAAAAGCTCAATTTTGGCATACAGGTTGATTCTAGGGTGTAGAGGTTCGCGATAAGAATGGATTTTTCGAAATTCCAGTTCCAAGGGGGTGAAACCACCCCTCAAATATTACAATATTTTTTACTTAAAAAACGGTCAAGTTTCCGAAAAAACGCTTAAACACGTATATTTTATTTTGTTTTTTTACACATTTTAAGATTTTTTAAAAATGTATACAAGGTGTTTCGAAAAATCTGGTCATTGATTAATCACGATCTTGCTTAAAGCGTTTGACGTAAAAAGTTGATTTTTGGAAAACGGATTGACTTTAAGGTGCTTAAACTGCTTGATTCTGCTTAAACTGCTTGACGTAAAAAGCTTACTTTTGGCAAACGGATTTTTCGAAAGTCAAATTCCAACGAGATGAAACTACCCCCCAAATATTACCCAGTTATATCGCCATATTGTTTTTTCTCATGCTGACATAAATGTGAGAAAATTTTATCCAGTTTGTATGTTAATGGAAATTCTTGCTTTGCTTTATCATCACCATTATAAATGAATAATTCGACGCGAATGAAGTCGCGGGTACACGCTAGTAGAATTATATATTTATGTGCAGATATCTTTTACTATCCTATAGGTAAATAAAGAAAGAATATAATGAATGGCATTGATAATTTTATCAAGATACCGTTTGAATCACATGCTGTCGTCCGCTTCCCGCCTACAGTAAACAAGCTTAAGTGAGTTCAGGGTTGGCACACTGTAGTTAGCTGATATATTACAGTACATTTTAGACATGTGATTCAGGAACAAGAATGTTTAAAGAACTATTACAATAATCTGCTTGTCATTTAAATATTTTAAGAGGAAATTGTAATTGAATTGTGAATGTTTGTTATAAAAGTTTGTTTATTTCTTGTAAATTATGTCTATACTCATCCGTTTAGAAGGCGGAATTTTTTACGAATAGTGTGATACCACACACTTGGTATTTCGAGTCAAATTTTCGTTACGAACCGCAAGTTATAATTTCAAATAAACCATATACGAAAATGTCAAAATTTGACATATTATATGTCGTTCTATTCAGAGTGTTATTTTCTATCAAATAAAGTAAAAAAATACCGGGGGCGCCATTTAAAAATGAACAGTTGTAGTAATTACCATTAAAAAGTTTAAGTAGTGACCGAAAACAATTGAATACGTCAATCAATCCTAATTTATGTCACATACTAGTACTTTGCCAGAACGGTCCTGGCAGCCTAGGCAACGCAACTCTCTCCTGAAAAGGAGAGTTTGAGAAGAACGAAGAAGAAGAAAATGCTAATAAAATTGTCAATGCTTTAAAAATGTCGAAAAAATGTTTACACGAAAAGGAGAGCATAATTACGTGGTGTAACGATGTTACTAAATTTTTGTGATAATTGGTTTGTAATGATTGAATTAATTAGCTTTTAATTATCAAATTATTTATAAAATAATTATTTTGTTAAAAGCAAGTAGTAGAGTCTTGGTTCGTGTCGATCGATACTCGCGGAGATAGGCGCGCGCCGTAATCCCTACTGTGTGCTGCTTTCCCCACTCCTGTAGGCGAGAGCAGTACCGTTAGAAAGTTTTGTTTTGTTTGGGTTCTTATTATATCGATTCTGAACCGTCCTAGAACTAGACAGCGCATGCGCAAATTTAATAATTTCTTTATACGTGAGTATAAATTATCTGCGCATGAGTATCACAGTTCTAGGACGGTTCAGAATCGATAATAAAAAAACTCGAAGTAAGCTAAAAGTCGGCAGTTGCTTGGTACCTGGGTTGGCGATTAGTCGACAGCTGAACTCTGCTCCTCCGAAGGTAAAAACTCGATAGAAAGCCTCGCTTTCTAGAAAGTGCTCACCCGACTACTCCCCGCACCTTCCGTAAAATCCTGCCATCCTGTCTTGCGCAGTGTCTGTTCTAGTGTAGTGCTACGCCACGTTGTTCATCAAGTGTCGTTGTCGTTTGAAAACTTTTCTTTCAGTTTTCCTCGCTCAATCACGTGAACGTGTGTCCTAGCCAACGCCTTCGGAAAAGCGGTGAGCGGCTTTGCATTAAATTGTGAAAGGCCGTTCTCTGTCTTTCAAAAGGTGGCTGACTATGAAGAGCAGTAGGTAGCGTCCTCTGGTCAGTATTTTCACAAGTACTGTCGGGAGGCCTTTCCTGTGCCTAATCCATCCGTGATTGAAGGGAAAGTGTGAAAAACCTACAATTTTGACCGTGGGGTGCTGTTTTCACGTACGGTTGGATTGTTGGCTAGTGAACAAACGAAAGACAAGTTTCTTCTCCGGGATAAGATAGGGTTTAACTAGTAACTTTTTGATTTCGCGATCTTGCCACGCCTGCGCTACCCGACAGGCGTCAGGGAGGCCGCCTGCTGTCTTTGTCCCGGTGCGCATGCAGTGCCCGATTTTTTTTTAGAAAGTAACAAGACACTGCGTATCTGACTGAAGCGCTGTGTTGGGACCAGACGTCTTTCGAAAGTCATCCTAACTTTCGAAAGTTAACACATGCGCAGTGCATTCTCCGACCGCAAATACTAGGGTGAGCCATCCACCTATCGCCTGCATTTCAGGGCCGCGCATGCGCCCTTGGTTAGAAAATAGAAAGTCTCGCGCTTGCGTAGAATCTTATTCCGCCCATTTTGCGCGAAACCCGTGAGCCAAGACTTTCGGCTGCTTCTCAACCAATTTGAGTTTAATAAAGATTGTATATATTATTTTAATTTAAACTGATTGTTTTATTTTGTCTTTACCTGCACCCCTTCATACCTGGAGTGTCCACTGTTTAAAGGCTACCCATACTGGCGAAAGTGGATCTCTACCACTATAAACAACAGATGTGGCGCCCGAGAGATCTAGATTTACGTCTCGGCGTCAATAAGGCTATTTTTTAACAGAACCGAAGAAATAGCCTTACAGTGGTTGTTGGGTGCAATAACATTCAATAACTCAACTTTTCCGGATATTCGACTCTCCAGAAACAACATTTTATAGCTTCATAGCTTCTCAAACCCATTTGATCAGAAGTGAATCAAATTTATAATTTCTTAATTTATTAATTTTTATTCTATTCTTTGTTCAACATTTCAAACTACTCTTTTTTAAACATGTCCTTCAAATCCTTCAATTTAATAGCTGTTAGTAAGAAGTTTCACTTCAAATATACGCACATAGTGCACACACAATTTTTTAACAGTTTTTATAAAGTTTTTTTTCCCTCTATTTATCTCATCTCTTGCATTTACAAAGTCGAAAACTTTATTATTTTCTCGTCTTAATATTAATTTTAAAAATCATATATCTAAAATGTCCCACTGTTGAAACCATAAGTTGAAACCAATTACTAAAGAATACAAGGACAAATAGCACCCGAGACCAACTGTGACCATCCTTCGAAACAGTGCCGTGGCACATATTTTTCTTAACATAGCCGCTTGAAGCCATATTTATATTTTTGATAAATGTTTTCACTACGCATATGGTGTATCCGGTGGTATCATACTCATTAGTTACGAAACAAACGTACTAAAATGTTAACAAAAGGTACAAAACTAATATCGACGTATAGCACATATATCAAGTACATGTAATATCAGAAAAATAATTATCGAATTCAATAAAAAACGCTAAAAAGGTGTAGTGGACTGTTTATTCCTCTATAAAACGTAACTCCCTTTCTTATCATCGCGCCTTTTACACTTGAAAGCTGAACAAATTACCATCGTAATAAAGTTTATACAAAGTTTACTACACACAACCAACTATTAGAAATCGCTAAAATTGTCGCTGATGACCATCTGATGACTCATTAGTTATGTATGTCCAAAAAAATGGCGTCTAAGGTCACAAATTCTGCTGCAGCCCGTATATGACCGTTACATCTCATTGTATTCTCTAGCCATTGATTGAAACCCAGAGGGACAAAGAAGAGGCATATAAAAATTGTTTTAAAAAATATGCAATGTCTGACTATCATAAAAAGCTAGTTTGATGACTTCAGATTTTCGTAAAATTTTTCGATTTTGTAGTTGCTAAAGAAATAGAGATACAGAAACATTTCATTCAAACAACATTCGATATTTGAATTAATTCTTCACTTTTTTTTCTTTTAGTATAGACTATATGGTATGGCGCCAAGGTTGAATCACTGTGTACGTGGATCGTGTTAGATAGTGTGTATTTAAAGGTGTGTATTAACTTTTGACAAAGACTTCAAATAAATCCGGAACCATACATAAATGAAACAAGTTTAGATTGGAAAGTGCCCATAAGGACAATGAAAACACTCTTTGGTGCTATTCTTGCAACGGTCGCGACCCAAAGCTTTTGAAAATTTCGGAGCGGTTCGGCTTTTTCCGGAATTATGTCACCAAATATGATTTATTCAAATTTATTATTATTTTCTTTTAATTTTATAAATAAAATACAGTGTGTTGCATGGAAGAACCTTTATTTTGTATAAGGACATGTATGAAATACCTATGGAACGATGGTTTTTGCAGTTCACAGCACACCTTTTTTAGTTTTTAATGCCACTTTTTCATAATTATCACGGGTTTTAGTAAATAAAACTTAAATTAAACTCACAAGATAGGTAGCAATAATTACTTTGAAAATTGACGCTTTAAACACTTCGGAATTTTTTCAATGAGAGGTGTTAAGAAGGTTATTTTGAAAGATTTTTATAATTTTTCAAGATTCTGACTTTGACAAGAGATATGGACAAGAGAAAATTATTTGTTTTTGTTTGGCGGTTGTTCTTAGCAACCGCTATAGCAGCGCCAGATCGCGTACAACGGTCGCGACCAGGGCCATGTAAGTGAAATATTAAAAATGGTTCCAGCAAAAGTTTCCCAATTATGACGGATGATGGCGCTGATCGTCAAAATTTTTGGACAGGGATTTTGCTTACCGACAATACGACGTGAGCTACGACCGGACCAGAACCAATCAGAATGATCAGTCTTTCTTGGACATTTGCCGCGGAAGTGTGTGTTAATTTCTGTTGTGATAAGTGTGGTTGTGTTTACAGTTTGATTTTTCGGTTTTGATATTATGTTAAAATTAATTTTGAAGTATTGTATCACCTGTTTTTATGCAATAGTACTTTTCTTAGTTCTATGATCTGATATGTTATGATTTGTTAATGTTTGTTTAACAATGTTATACCAAAGAGGTTATACTTAATATACTTATCAATTTGCATAGCCTAACTTTTTTATCAATAAACTTTGTAGATTTTCAGATTATTTAATTCCTTTTGTTTCTGTTTGTAATTTTATTTTTAAGACATATTATGTGATTGTTTCACATAATATGTTTTAAAAATAAAATTGCAAATAGCGTAAAAAAATAATTAAAATAAAAAAGTGTATTTTACAATTCCCCCCGGCCCCGCACCCCTTTGGCTAACCTATAATGTCAGCTATGTCGAGAGATGGCGTTACGAAAATGGAACCGATTTATTACAAGGAACTTGGGCTTCTTTTTCGTTAGTATATTCTGTGGTCGCGACCTAAAAGGATTTTGCGACCCAAAATTTTGACGGGCAATCTAAATGTATTATTTCCTTTATCTAGGATCCGGAACAGCTGTCACTGTCAAGATCTTTACCGATAGTAAAGCTTGGTAAAAAACTTTGACTTTACAATTACTACTAGATTTTAGTACATTTTAAATATTTCTAGTACATTATTTTTCGCCTGGACTAACCCGACTGGACTAACCACACCGAAACACGTTCAGTCAGCTGATCGCGACGCTGCAATGGGGGACAACGACATCGATATCCTGCCTACTTTGTACCAATATTACACCGAGGGCGGTATACAGGGTGGCCTGAACGATACCCAATCCGACTTTTTACTGAACGGCAAGAAAATAAAAATATTTAGTGGCGCCCTCCACTATTTCCGAGTACATCCGGAATATTGGCGCGACAGGCTGAGGAAGTATCGCGCGGCGGGGCTGAACTGCGTCGAGACGTACGTCCCTTGGAATGTTCACGAGCCTGAAGATGGGCGCTTCGATTTCGGAGGAAACGTCGACGAGAACGACTTCAGCTTGTTCCTGGATTTGGTGCGTTTCGTCGAGATGGCGCAAGAAGAGGACCTGTTGGTTATATTGAGACCGGGACCGTATATTTGTGCCGAATGGGAGTTTGGAGGGTAAGTTTTATTATGTCTTTCTAATGAATCTGTTCATTAGATTTTTTTGTATCGAATTTAGATACAAATATGAATGTTTTAGATTACGGATATTTTGAGGTGTATTTTTCACCAAAAAACTATCGTTATCCATACCGGGTATTGCATCGTCGGACGGGACATAGGGAATCCCATGTAAATTTTAATGGGGTCAATTATTGGCTTCCCTAATTATTTTAGAGAATAATTCTATTTAGGTTTATTGAAGAGCACTAAAACCCACATTCAAAAGAATAACTTTAGATATTTTTGATTAGCTCGTTTACGAATTATCGCCGATTTCTTTTTAAATATTTCTCCTTTCTTATGGCCCTGTATTTACTATTTACGTATGAGCACCAGTCAAGGTAAAAGATAACTGTCAAATGAAGTTGTCATTTCAGAAATTTACTTATTTAGTGCTTTATTATTATTGAAAACTCATTCCTACATCGCAAATCTTAAAGATGTATTTATAAATACAAATTAATATGAATTAAAGTAAAATAAAGTAATCAATTACAGGGTTAATTATAACATTATTACAATATTCAATAACTTATTAATTTAGGTACTATTAAATTCTTAGAACTTTAGGATTTACGATGTTCAAATATTCCTCCATCGTCTGCTAGACAATAACCCAGGCGATCATAAAATTCTCTTCTTACATTCGCTAGTTGGTAAACTGAAATTCTATAGCATTCGGCAGAAATAGCAAAAGTTTTTAACACGTCTAGATTTGGGTATTTTTTATCCTTGTATATCCTGTTTTTTAAATGGACTCAGAAATCATTTGGCGAAATATCAGGAGACCTTGCTGGCCAATTTACTGTATGATTTAGGCCAATAACGTTTCCGTTAAAACTATTGTCTAAATATATCCGAACAGCCAGGGTACTATGTGCCGGGCAGCCATCCATTTGGTACCAAACTTCCTGATTTTCCCTAGCGGCATCATGTAAAGCAGGTAAAATATGATTTTCGAGTAGTTCCAAATAATATTCTGCATTTAAATTTTGCGTAAGAAATAATGGCCCGATAATATTGTGTCCGAATATCCCTGTCCAAACGTTTACTTTCTGTGGATATTGCGTCCTTGTTTCGACAAACCTGTGTTGGTTTTCTTTGTTCCAATATCGATAATTTTGAACTTTGGGTTCATTATTTAAGGTAAATGTGCATTTGTCAGTGAAACATATGTTTTTTAAAAATTCCCTATCCGTGTTTGCTCTTTCCGTCATATCAAATATTACAGTTGAGGGTTGGAACCTTTGGTGTTACACAGCAAAATAAAAACACTAAATCACCACAATACACCAAAACACTTTTACTTTTACACTGGACGCGCGTTTCGCTAACCATGTTAGCATCATCAGCAGATGATTATAAACTTCAGTTTATAATTCAGTTTATAATCATCGGCTGATGATGCTAACACTAAATCACCACAATACACCAAAACACTTTTACTTTTACACTGGACGCGCGTTTCGCTAACCATGTTAGCATCATCAGCAGATGATTATAAACTGAATTATAAACTGAAGTTTATAGTCATCTGCTGATGATGCTAACATGGTTAGCGAAACGCGCGTCCAGTGTAAAAGTAAAAGTGTTTTGGTGTATTGTGGTGATTTAGTGTTTTTATTTTGCTGTCATATCAAAACAAAACGCCTACCGCCGTATTTCGTCCCCATCTCGTAGCTCTTGGTGCTTTTCATATTTGAAGGAATTGTACCGTATAATCGAAAAAAAAATGGTGTCCAGTTGGCTTGGAAATGACGATCGGTGACATTTCCCATATAATTTTACATATAAAAGCGATCTTCATTTCATAGCCATCGCTGACGCCGTTTTTATTCGATCATACGGTATTTATGTCGTTTCAAAATTCGAAACGCAAGTTTCCTTGTGCTGATCTTTCCATCGTTCTCTTCCACGCACAATAAAACTTCCAAGTCGGTATCATTTCTTGCATCTTCTCTTTGTTCCTGCCTTGCTTCACATCTGCAGTTATTTATTAGGGTACCTTTGGTCTCAAATCTCTGGATTTTCCTTGCGATTGTAGATTTTTCAGGTATCGGTCTATTCGGATACAGAGCAGCAAACATGTCCGACACCTTTTGATAACTATTTCCTTGATAATACCACTTTGATAATACCATTTAATCATCAATACTTTTTCTTTGGTAGTTTAATTCATGGCTAATATTTTCGATGTAGGTATGAGTTTTTAATAATAATAATAAAGGACTAAATAGATAAATTTCTGAAATGACAACTTCATTTGACAGTTATCTTTTACCTTGACTGGTGCTTATAAGTAAATACAGGGCCATAAGAAAGGAGAAATATTTAAAAAGAAATCGGTGATAACTGGTAAACGGGCTAATCAAAAATATCTAAAGTTATTCTTTTGAATGTGGGTTTTAGTGCTCTTCAATAAACCTAAATAGAATTATTCTCTAAAATAATTAGGGAAGCCAATAATTCACCACATTAAAATTTACATGGGATTTCCTATGTCCCGCTCGACGATGCAACACCCGGTATGGCTTGCTCATTTTAAATAAATACACTTATACAGGGTCCGGCAATAGTGCGTCGGGCTGTATGTAGCTCCTATAATAAAAATGTAGCTCCATGTAGCTCCTATAATAACAAATTTAGGAATTTTGGATAAGTGCAAACCTAAAGTATGTATTAAGATGTACTTCAGGACAAAAATTTAACTTCTACAGGGTGGCTCAAAAAGTGTGAGTGGATCTGGATGATTTTTTTAAATGAAACCCTCTGTATATTATTGCATTTTTGGCTTCATTTCAGATCACTTTACATAATAGTAAGATATGAGTAAATACATTTTGATATTTTCAGAGATATTAATGAATAAATAAAAAATTTTATTTTTCAGCACATTTCTTAAAAGAAAGTATTAGAAATACAAGAAAACTGTCCTCAAATCAAAACTATATTACGTATTTACTTTAAACGATCTGTACTTACTTTGCTTATTAATATCGCAATCTTAAATCATACAGGGTGTTCAAAATTCTACTCCAAACTTTCTAAAATATAAAATAGCTTTTCCTCGTGTTTTTTTAATGGAACACCCATGAACATTTTCTGTATTTAGAGTATATCAAAATTGTTAGCGGTTTCGCAGATACTCGCGGTATTATTTCACATGGCTCTTTCAACGGTAAAATACGAGAGAAAAATCATTGGGTGGCTTTGATAAAAAATTAACTGTGGAAAATGCCATATGAAATATAAATACCCTCGAATATTTTGGGTCAATTTATGTTGGTTTAGTTTGGGCAAACTATCAAAAAAAAATCTGAAAAAGATAATTTGCTATTTTATATATCTTTGCATATATTTTGTAATTTTTTTATTTTTTAATTTTGTTTAATCATTTGCTTATTTGTATATTCTATTTGTTTTATTGTCCGGTCTTAAGCTGCCAGAATCTCTATACAAATATATTGAATATCGTTACATTCTATTACGGTCAGTATGGCAACAAGCAACAGTTCATTATTTGAATATAAGTCATATTCAACAAAAATTATTTGACCGTAAAATATAAATAACTATACTTAATATTTAGATATTAAAACTATTCATCTGGAGAACACCTAGGTAAAGATGCGTCTTCTAATCTTGAAAGTAGAACATTTATTAATAACCTTTATACTTTGACACCTCAACTTAATACGTTTCATCTGTTTTATATTTAACATTTTTAAAATTCATTTGTCTTAGAAAACATTTTCTGTAACTTTACTGTTATAGTTTATAATATACTTTTACTTATTTAATGAAACACTGAGCTTTTTTAAATATTTTAATGCAGAGTAGTTAAATATATGTATAAAGATTGAAACTACGGCGTAATTTTTCGACCGGAACTTTTCAGGCGTATTGTGTACCTTTTGGGGAGTTGTTTTAGGGGGAAAATTGTAACACCGTGCTCTTCCATCTTTGGAAAGGATTATTTCTCTAGCACATTGTCAGTGGTTATAAATAGTAATATCCTCGGTAATATCCAAAAGGATTATTAATAAAAAAATACTACTAAAAAATTGATTGAATTGAGTTAAATTATTTTATAAATAGTAATTGATTAGCTAACAGTTTAGCTTTATATTGCTGTGCATTTGCAACTTATATAACTATTTTATTTTCAGGTTGCCAAGTTGGTTATTGCGTCAAAAAGACATAAAAGTCCGCACTTCAGATCCAAAATATTTGTCTTATGTCGAACGGTACTTCAAACAACTTCTCCCCTTAGTAGCACCTTTACAGTTTAGCAAAGGTGGCTCTATCATAGCAGTACAAATAGAAAATGAATACGGAAATGTCAAAGAGGAAAGTAAGCCTATCGATACGGCATATTTAGAAGCTTTAAAAACCATTCTTACGGATAATGGTATTGTGGAACTTTTGTTTACTTCAGACACACCTACTGCAGGATTTAATGGTACGTCTAATTGCCCACTTTGTTTGGATATTTGTATTTTTACTATTATTGTTATTTGCAGGAACATTGTCAGGTGTTTTAGCCACAGCCAATTTTCAAGAAGATTGTTCCATTGAATTGGGCCTGTTAAAAAGTCATCAGCCTAATAAACCTTTGATGGTAATGGAGTATTGGACGGGTTGGTTTGATCATTATACCGAAAAACACCACGAACGGGCTTCCAATAAGTTTGAAGCAGTTTTGGAGGAAATCCTGATGTGGAATTCCTCTTTCAACTTGTATATGATGCATGGTGGTACCAACTGGGGTTTTCTGAACGGTGCCAATATTTTTGGAACAAAAGACGATAATTCAGGTAATATATCATTATTATTTAAAACAATTATAAAATATGTTTTATAATTGTTTTAAATAATACAATAGACGCACTATATATGTACAGTGCTTAAAATACCGGGTGCGTCTCAAAAGTTGCTCACCCCCTATAACTTTTTTATTTTTTCAGATAAAAAAAACGAGATTTGGTATGTTAATATATGACATAAATTAGGAGTGATTGACGTATTCAATTATTTTCGATCACTTCCTGTTTCACCGCAAATGACTACAACTTTTGATTTTCAAACGGCACCCTCGGTATATTTTTACTTTATTTGATAGAAAATGACATTCTGAATAGAATGACATATCATATGTGAACTTTTGACATTTTTGCTTAAAAAATCGTATTTTAAAATTCAATCTAGAGTGTCATAGCTGTGTTTAAAACACTAATTTTTAATCAAGGAGCATTGGAAAAATAGATTTGATCGTCTAATGTTTTTTGTGTCTTGTCCTGGCCGGCGGAAAGGTCAAATCAAGAAAAAAGGGTGTGGGTGGATAAAATGATCATAATTTTGTATTGTCATGGTAACACATAAGTTTTTAGGATAATAGACACTTAATTTTATTTTTGTTTCAGGTTTTCAACCTGATACATCTAGTTACGACTACGACGCGCCATTGTCTGAAAACGGTGATTACACTGACAAGTACCTGGCTCTTCAGAGACTCACCGCCGAATATAATGACATATATGTCAAGCAGCCTTCACCTCCAGAACCTACTTTTAGAATAGCTTATCCAGACATCGAGATTATTGGAGAGCTAAGTTTAAATAGTCTGATAGATCAATCCCTTTATAGTATTAAGAGCGAAACGTTAGTTTCTATGGAGCAGTTGGATATTAATAATGGCAACGGACAAAGCTATGGATACATTGTATACAGAAAAGAAAATATTGATATTAAAGCTGGATCAGTATTAAAAGTAGAAGGACACGTTTGCGATACAGTTTTAGTATTAATCAACGGAACTCTAGTATCGAAGGTTTTAGAAACGGAAGAAGATTTGAATGGGTTTGGTTACTGGAGGAAGAAAGATTCCAGTATAAGTTTAGGGACTGACGACTATTCAAAAGCTACCCTTGATTTGGTTGTAGAAAATTTTGGGAGAGTCAATTACGGGAAGCTGTATCAATTTAATCAGTACAAGGGGTTATGGCAAGGGAACGTATCGATCAATAACGAAATCATATCCAACTGGAAAATAGTTCCTTTAGAGTTCAAGAAACAATGGACCAAAAATCTGACGGATTGGAACAAACCTTCCTTTAAAAATGGACCAAGACTGTATAAAGCGGTTCTAAATATTAGTTCAGAACTGAAAGATACATATATCGATTTTAAAGGGTGGAGTAAGGGTTTTATCATAGTAAACGGATTTGTCTTGACTAGGTTCTTCAAGTTAGGACCTCAGCAAAGTGGATATTTGCCGGCGCCGTTTTTGAAAAGAGGCGAAAATGAAATTCTAATTTTTGAACATTTTGTAGCCTGTAAGAGTATCAAATTTTGTACCGATCCGTATTTTGAAACTGTTGGAGATGGAAAAGTATTAAGAAAATTATTAGAGCAATAAGAATTTGTTTTTGTATTTTACTTTAAAATAAAAAAATGTTTTTTCTTAACTGATAAGTACTGTTGTCTATTACATCTCTGACGTTTAAACCAAAACATGTTTTTGATGAATTTTCTAGATTTAGGGTCTTTGTAAAGGTTTTAAGCTGAAAGATAATATGTTTGGTTAGTCTCATGTTTTCAAACACTAATCACAACTGCTTCCACTTTAAACAATCAAAAGCCCTACCGTAGTCGACAAAGCATAAAATTTACTTTTTCAATTATTTGTCTTACATTTAAGATTTGTTCCCTTGTTCCTCTTCCTGGCATAAAACATGTTTGTTTGTCAGGAATCTGTGGGAGCAAAAAATGCTTTAAGCGGTTGTTTATGATATGGAGTAGAATGTTACTTGCATGTGACATATAAGAGCTATTGTTCTATAATTGCTACAATTTTTCGGAGGACCGTTCTTATGCAACGGCGTGTATATCGACACTATGCCCCTGGTCACTCACCAGTTTGCCGCATAGTGAAATGTGTCGAGGGTTAAATTACCCTCAGCGGATATTCCATGTTCACCAGGTGATTTATTGATTTTTTGGATTTTAATTGCCTTTTCCACTTCAGCCTTCAAAATGTTAGGTTCTCTGTGAATCTCCTCAAAGTTAATTTTATTGTCTCTTCATTATCATTATTTGTGTCTGTGGCTCAAATTCTCCAGACAGGTATTTCACTTTGTCATAGAATTCGTGAGCTCTGTTGTTTGCATGATCTTCTAGCTCTTCACATACTCTTAAATTAATACACACTGAAATCATAATCAGTAGAACACTGGAGCCAAATAGTTACGGCACCCTTCTGATCAGAACTGGTACAGTGAGTTTCAAAAACCTTGTGACAATTCGGCTATGCGAATAGTTAAAACAAGGGTGCGAAAAAGTAATTCGAAAAATAGAACGTCTCGAAATGTCTCGGAATGTGATACGCCAAGAACATTTGAGCAGGATTATCCTTATCCTAACTCAAAGCTAGAAATTACTGAAATTTTGGATGATGTTAGCCAGCGATTTGGGCCATAGCATACATGGGATACTGCGGGTTTATATTGCATATATGCAGGGAATGGGAACGGTGGAGGACGCAGTTGTCGACTCTGCTTGAAGAACGTAATTTTGCTAGCCGCTCTTCCCTCCTAAGCGACCATTAGGGAGATGTTTTACTAAAATATTTAGAAAACAAAGAGAATCGTTTGTTTCAATCGAATCGTTTGTGGTAAATTTCATGTTAAGAACGAAAATGGTTGTTGTGAAGATCTAAAAACAGAATGGATTTTTTGAATTGTTCAGCAAGTTGGAGGTAGCGGACCTTGGTAACATAATTGGAGACCATAAGTAAGAAACAAGTCAAAATAAAGAAAATGGTATTTTTTTCTTAAAAATATACTAACTGCCATTATGGTTAATATAAATGTATCAATAATTAGGTTTAGCACTTAAAACCTAAGTTTGAAATATGTTCAATGACTTTGTTTTGTAAGTCTCCTCTATGTTGTGATTTTGGCATTTAGCATGTTTCTTACTTAATTATGGTTTTCAGTTATATTCAGGCATTAACAACCTCTACTGAGAGGGTGGGTAATGTAACAATAATTAGATTCATATATGAGACTCACTTTTAGTTAAAATACAGTGGGCTTGGTGCATTGTCCGCCGGTGCTGCCACCATTGGAGAATATCGTAAACTACTGGTATATACAAATACACGGGTTTAAATAGCGAGTATACGAAAAACGTATTATATAATTATTCTGAAAGTGTTAAGAAGTTTTTTGAAAATTCTAAAAATAAAAACAAAAAAGTAAATATTTTGATATCTTCAGTATAGGTATCTAACTTGTATTATAATTTATTATTCCAGCTAAAAAAAAATTAGATGAGTTCAACTACGGTAGCGAGCATAGTTTTACGCACCGGTTTTGTTAGTGGGGCTATTTCGGCTATAACGAATTTTTTTAAAGGTACATAATTTTAATTTTAGATGTTCACAAAACATTTTACTAAAAAAAGTATACGATTACTATTGCAAATTATATTATATCCTTTCATAATATATGCCTATTTAATTTTTTGATTATGTAATGAGCACTTTGTTGACTCACTTGTTTCGTCGAACTGCTTGAAGCCATTTTTGCTTTTGATCAAATCGGTGTGAGAGACTGCAAAGCTGTAAAATGTTGTTTCGGAAGAGTTGAATATCCGGGAAAGTTGAGTTATTTAATGTTATTGCACCCAACAACGCTTTAATACGCTCTCATCAACAATGCCTAAATTACGCGTTAACATTTTTTCAGCAATTTTATTAACACTTGAAGGGTCCAGGGGAAAAATTGGTAAGCCAATTTCTTAATTTTAGGATTTTACAATTTGTAAAATCCTAATGCATGTCGGTAAGTTGTTAAATCCTATGATATATGCCTAGTAAAAATATAGAATACACGGCGAGAATCTGATTAACTACCAGCCGTCCAGTGCTCTCCTGTAAAATCAGTGAAATGGTACTTATCATGTTTTCCCCTGGACCCTTCATTTGAAATTGTCACAGCACACCACGACGCCTAATTTGGGCTCTTTTTCACTTATTTTTTATTACCCGAAACAGGCGTTACACCACACAAACCTTGTACGGAGTGTTTTATACTTCGAATAACTGCACCAGTAAAAAATCAAATACTTAAATAGTATGACAAAACCACGATTTTAAAATTATTTCAGTGCCATCTGCATAAACGGTAACGGGACTGCATGAATATACATACTGGTTCAGTTTATACCCGGCACTTCTAATATCTGCCGTTAGAGCGCTGCGGTCGGAATTTTTAAAATAAACTAAAATGCATTTATCACATATATATCAATGGGTAAAGTTTTGACTTCCTACAATACACTCCTACATCAATAAACCAACCATAACCAAGTTAACCAAACATTTATTTATCGCGTCTCCCTTGCCCGATTTAAAGGAATAAAAACAATAATTTGAAATGTATCTTTATTTTTATTATTAAATGGCATAAGAGCTATCTTTTATGTATATATTACATATCTACAAGATGATACAATATTTTAAATCGTCGATAAACTTAACTATACAGAGATTGATCCTAATACAAATATATTAATTATTATAAAAAGTCTAAACGTGATTTTGCAGCACCACACCAATTACATAAATAGTATATTTTTCAGATTTATTTTTCATAATGGACGTATGTCTTGCGGAAAGAGAGTTAAACATCTTAATTAGTTAAAAATGCAAAAATGCAAAACGAATGTAATGAAATTTTGGCACCAAAACATTTAATATTATTATTATAGCAGTTGATTTTAAAACATATCTTAACTAAACTATGTATACCTTCAAAAAATAATGGTATAAATTAAAAATATATAAATTATAAATACAAAAAAAAAACACATTGCAATAATTATTTTTTGAAGGAGATACATTTTTATATGCAATTGAAAATTGTTGAATATTATTGATTTTGAATATTACCCATCAAATATTTAACAATTTGCAAAGCCGTTTAAACTAAAATAGGCCTAAAGCGTGAAAACATGTAGAAAAAAATATATGTGCAAAACTTTATTTTTTATTTTTTTAAATATTTTTTCATATTCAGTTGGGTGGGTGATATCATGATGATTTAACAAGGCAAGAAATGCTTGAGTTGTTAATACAGATATAAATCCTGATATATTTTAAACAATTTTATAGAACTTTAGCTCCAAGATTATTATATTTCTTTACTCCTGTTTTATTAAAATGTATGAACTGTTTATACTCATCTATTTGGTGTCATTTGAAATAGGTAATTTTTAACAATTTTGAAATTGTTTAAAATATATAGAGTCGATGAAAATGTAAATAATATAATAACTACTATGCTTTTTAAAATATATTAGATATGTTTTTTTTTAAATTGTAAATTCTTTAATTAATTTACTTTCTCGTTAGTTTTAAAGGACGAAAGAAACATAGTTAAGGCTATACAAACGAGTTATTTACATTTTCCAAATATATAAAAGTAATATTTGTCAAAACGAGATATTTTTAGGGTAGGTAACAATTAATATTCTAAACTCTCTATAACTATAACAAAGAAATTGCTTATTACATTAAAATGCATCAAGTTTATATAAAATCTCCTACTGTCGATCGAAAAAAATTACACCTATATCGATTCTATTTTTAGATAGTTTTTAGGGCATTTTTTTACAATGGTGAACGGGTTAACAATGAAAAAATTTGCGATAATGAAGAATTCTGATGTTTTGCAACGGAATTGGTTGATATTCAATTACAGCAATCTTCTGGGGTTACCCCACTAAAACATAATACTTAAAAAATCAAAATATTCATTTTATTCATTTAGAGTTGTTTTAATATTTTGGGAATTCGAATAATTTAAAATCTGGGGCCGGGAATATTGACACTGATTTAATTTTTGCGAATATTCGTTGCGAATTTTGAGTTTTTAGGTTAAAATATGTCATTTCTTGTCATTTATTTATTGTTACGGCATAGATAAAGGAAATAAATTTAGATTGGAATGCCCGTCAAAATTTTGGGTCGCGACCGTTATACGCGATCTGGCGCTGCTATAGCGGTTGCTAAGAACAACCGCAAACATAAACAGAAATCATTTTCTCTTGTCCATATCTTTTGTCAGTCAGAATCATTGCCTGGAAACTTATATGGTGAAATTTTGATAAAATAATTTAGTGCACACTAAAAACACGGTATGTCGCTAGTGGTAGGAAAAATAATTTTTAGAGGTTACTAGTTTATTTGGTTGCCTGTGATATGCATATACAGGGTGTTTCCTAATTAATTTAAAAAATATAAAATCGTTAGAAAACGAATTAAGGCGGGCTCTTAATAAGTATATTTATTTTTTTCTCGACAACCGTTTGATGAACAAGAAAAACTCAAAAGATCAATTTTGTTGAAGATCGGCTAAAATGCACAGTTGCCAGATTCAAACAGACTTTAATTGGCATCCCACTCTTTTTTTGGTGTATAATAATTTCTTTCTATTCTTCGTTCCTTGTCAGATACACTTATATTAATTATTCGTTTGGCTTTTAAAATAGTTTTAATTTTAAGTATATTATTAGAAAACATATCGAACGTCAGGAAGTGGTGTCATATAGAACAATACTTATTATATTGTCGCCGAATTACAATGAAAATTCAGGATTCAGTTAGAATCAAACTATATTTTCTTTAAAAAAGCAGTGGTGTACCATTTATGTTAAGCAAAAAATCGATTTTTTAAATTTTAAACAATTTGGAAGTGATTTTAATTCAGCTCGTAAGATTTAACTCAACTAACATAAAAGTTAATACTTAAACGTTTGAAAAAGAGCTCTAATCTATTTTAATATGTTTAAATGATGTAGCAAATTTGAAGCTAGGCTTTATCAGGGAAGTATTACAATATAAATTACACAATGGCAAGACTGCATAAAATTCTTTTAAATTTCGTTTGTAGAAAACTGTTTTCTTTTAAAATTTATCGCCCTCTGTCTATTAGTAGTAGAAACTATCGCATCAAAATATCTGATTTGTAGACAGGCTTTTAAAGCCTGTCTCCTTTAAAGGACCTACGATTTTATACATTTAACGAGGCTTCTGTTGCGTAGCTAGATATTCTATATGCTATTACTAACGTTTCAAGGTCAACGTTCCTGTCGAAGTTAAAATTGGATTCAAATATAAACATAAAAAACATTTACAGCAGTAAAGGCGAAGGCGCCGGGTTAAACGTAGTCTCCACTAAAAACACGGAGGGGCGCTTTGACCCAAAATTTTACTATTAAGTTTCATATCTATCTTAATAGTAGATTATTTTCTTTTATCTATGGTCAGAATCTTGAAAAATTATAAAAACTTTCAAAATCTAAACCGCTCTCATTGAAAAAATTCCGAAAAGTTTTTAAAGCGTCCATTTTCAAAGTAATTATTGCTATCTTGTGAGTTTAATTTAAGTTTTATTTACTGAAACCCGTGATAACTGTGAAAAAGTGGCATTAAAAACATAAAAAGGTGTGCTGTGAACTGTGAACTGCAAAAACCATCGTGGATCGTGGCATAACGTCGGTTTCCAATGTTTCTTAGGTATTTCATACATGTCCTTAAAATAATAATAAATTTGAATAAACAATATTTGGCGCTATAATTCCGGAAAAAGCCGAACCGCTCCGAAATTTTCAAAAGCTTTGGGTCGCGACCGTTGCAAGAATAGCGCCAAATAGTGTTTACGTTGTCCGTATGAGCACTTTCCAATCTAAACTTGTTTCATTCATCTATGTGTTACGGTTATGATAATACTAAGATGGAAGAAACTGTAAAAGTATGAAAAAATTGTGCATAATCATTATTAGGTATTATTATTAGTTTATTTTTACAATCTGATTTAATTTTTTTTAATTTGTAATATGAAGTTGAATGTTTTCTTGACTGCAAACTAGTAACGTTATTGGAACAATTTCAAAACCATTGAGAATTGAAATCGTTTATAGACATTTTATGGAATGCACTAAATTGTGATATGCTCCTTGTTGCTTTCACTTTTTAAATATATCACATTTTCCAATTGTTCCATGTTTTTTATTTTTGTTGTTTTTTTTATTAATAAATATACAGCAATAGATCGTCTTCTACGCCAACAATATTTCTACGCCAAAAATATTTTAATTGCTGACAAAAATAAAATTCTTCATTCAAGTGACACTTTAACCACAAATTACCTACAACAGATGCGAAAGAACACCGAATTACGCGTTCAGGTTTCTGTGACCTTCAGAAAGAGTTCATAGACAATACGCATCAATGTATAGTTTGGGTTATTATTTGTTTGGGTGAAAATAATCTGCACCAATATGTTATCGAGGCATACAAAAAGGTCCACAGACTTCGAGACATACGAAAAATCAAGTCCATTTAGCGTGTGTCGCAATTTTCACACCTTAAAAAATTAGTTTTTTATAGCTATAGCAACTGCAGCGACTATGAAAAAAGCTGTGTGATTTTCATAGAAAATAAGGGCACCTGTAATTCATTTGAGAATGTTATAAATCGCTAAAAGAGTTTTCAAATCTCTTGGATTTCTATTAATATTAAATAAATTTTATTAAAAATTGAACTAAAATTGTTAGTATCATTAAAAACAATTCAAATTCAAAAATTGTATCACTTATAATATCACAAGAGCTTAAATTATTTTCGGAAATTTTTTTGAGGGCACGAATATTTTGAAAATTATCCCGAGTCGAAGACGAGGGATAATTTACCAATACTTAGAAATACCAAAACCAATAAAAATTATTAGAAATACCAATAAAAATTACCAAAACTTAGAAATAACAGTTCAAAAGTTCAACAAAAATCCTATACGCGTTTTTAAAAAGAAACATATAACCACGCACTATGTCATTCCAGCAAGCGAATACGACACAGCATAGGTTTCCGGACTAAACGACTGGTGTATTTACACCACTCAATAGGCGTGTCGGGTTTGCCGAGCGGTTTCCGATGCAGTCGCTTTCTTTCGCATCTGTTGTAGTTAATTTGTGCTTTAACCATGTGTTTAAAAACACAAATATAAGATAGATATTTTGGTTTATTATGTTCTGTTTTAATTCTGAATATTCCCAGAGGATTTCAAAATTGAATCCACATACAAGACACTGAATTAATTTACAATTATATTTTTTTTTCTTATATTAATATTTTCTCAAAAAGCTTCCGTTGCGAAACATATATCTTTTCATTAGAAACAACTTTTTCTGAAAGCATTTTTTCTACAGCAAGTCTTCTTTGTCCACTTCTTCCATCCTGTTGTTGTTCCTATTTCTCTTCATAGCGGCATAGATAGATGCGGCTTTGTAGTTAATAGGTCCGTAGTTGGATTTGTAATCGACGTCAGCGTAGAGCAGGTCACAAGGGTCCGGTCTGTAGGGCTGGAAAGAACACATTCGATATAAAACATAGGAAAGATACGATTTACATATTTTTATATAAATGATTGAAAACAAGGTTTAAATCGAATGAAACGTGTTTAAAACAGTAGATATGGCCACTTTTAAATAAAAATAATTTATAAAAAGAAGACTCCATCGCATAAATGGCAGCTATACCGGGCGTTTCTCAAAAGTAGTTCACCTCTATAACTTTTGTATTTTTTCAGAAAAAAAAATTTGGTATGTTATTTGTATATGACATAATTTAGAATTGATTGACGTATTCAATTGTTTTCGACCACTTCCTGTGTCACCCGAAATGACTACAACTTTTGATTTTTAAATGGCACACTGGGTATTTTTTTTCTCTATTTGACAGAAAATTACACCGTGAATAGAATGACATATAGCATGTCAACTTTTGACATTTTCTCTTAAAAAAAATCGTATTTTAAATTGTGTAGAGTGCCATTGCTGTGTTAGAACTAGAACCACTAATTTTTAATCAAGAAGACTTGGAAAAATAGATTTGATCGTCTAATGTTTTTCGTGTCTTGCCCTGGACGGTTAAAAGATGCCCAAATAGTATTTGTAATCAAATCTCAATCTTTTCAAATGGAACAAGCGTGGCTTATTAGTATATTTGGAAAAAGCATTTTTTTATGAATAATTTGGTACTACCACACACTTCGTATTTTGAGTCAAATTGTCGTTATGAACCGCATGTTACAATTTCATATAAATCATATATGCGAAAATGTAAAAAGTTGACATATGAAATGTCATTCTATTCAGAGTGTCATTTTTTATCAAAAAAAAATTAAAAAAATAACAAATATGTCATTTAAAAATCAAAAGTTGTAGTCATTTCCGGTGAAACAGGAAGTGACCGAAAACAATTGAATACGTCAATCAATCCTAATCTATGTCATATACTAAAGTAACCTAACTTAACCTAACCTAACCAAATCTCGTTTTTTTATCTGAAAATATAAAAAAAAGTTATAGAGGTGAGCCACTTTTGAGAAACACCTGGTATAAAAAAATTATAATCCAGAATTCAGAGGATTTTTGAAAATCATGAATTTTTTAGTTTTCCAAAAAAAAAGTTTATTATTTTTTTAACTTTACACAAGAATACCAATTTCGATCCATCTAGATGTTAAAAACTCATCACTTTTAATCAGTAGCAGCAGATTCTTGTAGTAGCAAACCTAACTGATTCTAGTCCGTTTATCAGTAAACTATTTATCTGGTGCTCATATATTTAGTTATACTTTATGATCGAAAAAAAAACGGCGCCAAAGAGGGCTGGGGAATGATAATCGTTAATAATTTTGGCGAGGCCAATTTCTAGACGTTTACTAAAAATAGACATAAATCTTTTCAAAAATTAACACTACTTATAAGGATAGAAGGTTTCCAGACACACACATCTATTTCCAAAGAAATATTTTTTTCTCAAGTTTTAAACTACACCATTTAAAAACTATTTTTACTCAATATCAAAATAAATTACAACCTTCTTAAGGTCAACTGACAGTAAACACCATTAATAAATGAGGACGAGTACAGGCCAAGTAAAAGAGGTCTATGGCCTGACCTCGCTAAAATTATCATCGATTATCATACCGCAGCCGTCTTTGACGCCGTTTTTTCCCGACCATGTGGTATATTTTAAATAAACAAAGTGGGTCTTAAATAAGTGCCAATATTTTTAAGCGTAGTATATTTCGACCCCAGAAATACGATCATGATTTTTTTTTCGCGAAAAAAAAATTCAGAATTTGGAATTTTTGGAAAAAAAATTTGTATTTTTTTTTAGTTTTTAGTTAAAAATCATAATTTCTTGATAATACGGCAACATAGGTAGTAAATTATATTTACAAGAAAAAAAAACAGAAAAGATACAGTGGTTCTCAAAATTTAAGCAAAAATAATTTTTTGGAAATTTTTAAAGTAAAATCACTCGGTTATTTTGGACTTATTTGAAAAACGGTAAAGAGAAAATATGTTTCTTTTATCGAGATTTACCAGCCCTGAAAATATTTGCATTTATTTAAGACTCACCCAGTATAGTTATGAAAAGTTCTTTTTTTGCTGTAAAAAACAAACGTTGTTGGTTAACACACTAAAAATATTTTGGTAACTATTTTTTTTTTCATCTTTTTTGCTATTTTTAGACATTGTACAGGGTGAGTCAACGATAGAGTAAAGTCCATTATCTCATTTGTTTCAAGGTTTACAAAAAAATGTTTAATATAAAAGTTATAGGGATGGTTAAGATACATATTTTAAAATTATTATAGAGTATACAAGGTGCTTCAAAAAAGTGTGGCGGCTATAACATATGTTTTTTTAAATGCAACCCCCTATTTTTTATTTTATTTTTAGATTCTGCGTAAAATTCCATAACTTTTTTATATATAATGTTATATGCCTAAAATTCATAGTTTTTGTAATATTTCAATATATTTAAACAAATGTTAAATTGCAGTGTGGTAAAAAATTGTCAGTGGTGCCATTGTTTCTGAAGTTTTATAGAGATGAAAAAAAAGATATATGTAAAGATATTTTAGTTAGATGTTACAGGGTGTTCAAAATATATTTATGAATTTCAACTACTTAAAATTAAAAAATCTCAAATTTTTTAAATGGGACACCCTATATATTATCATTTTTTCTGATAGATTTGACAAAACTCTTCAACTTTTATTAAGTATGTCATATCCCTATTTTTAATAGTTTGCGATTTATTCCCATTTTTTCTATTTTTACCCATATTTTCAATAAAATTACCCTATAAAATCATAGTTACCATGACAAAACAAAGCTATTTATTACTTACCTTTAACAAGTAGCTTCATAATTAGTTATAATTGCTGGTATTAGTTAAAATTAATTAACTTTACTCAAATAAACTAAATCGCAGTAGTGAATTTCTTGGTGTATTTCTATATTATGAAAGATGACACTTGGGATTTTTCGTCGAGGCGAATAACTATAAAAATAAATTATAACTAATAAAATAAAAATAGCTATATGACATTCTTAATAAAAGTTGAAGAGTTTGGTAAAATCTATCAGAAAAAATGATAATATATAGGGTGTACCATTTAAAAACATTAAAATTTCTTAATTTTAAGTAGTTGAAATTCCTAAATATATTTTGAACACCCTGTAACATCTAACTAAAATATCTTTACATCAGTCTTTTCCTATATCTCTATAAAATTCTCCTACCAAATTTTAGTTGTCCAACTTCAGAATTAATGCCATCATTGCCAATTTTTTAACCCACTGCAATCTAACATTTGTTTAAACAAATTTAAATATAACAAAAACTATTAATTTTAAGTATATAACATTATATATATGGAATTTTACGCAAAATCTAAAACTAAAATAAAAAATAGGGTGTTGCATTTAAAAAACATATGTTATATTCGCCACACTTTTTTGAAGCACCCTGTATACTGTATAATAGTTTTAAAATATGTATCTTAATCATCTCTGTAACTTTTATATTTAATATTTTTTTTAAACATCGAAACAAATGAGGAATGGACTTCACCCTATCGTTGACTCACCCTGTACTGTAAAATAAGGGATTATAACTTATATTTTTTTTGGATTCTTTTAACGGTTTTAAAGTTACTGTTTTAAACACAATTTTGATTCATAATTCATCATTAACTAATATTAAATCATGTTTTAAACACATTACTAAAACAAAGTTGTTTTTAAAGGACATCCCTGACATTAGGTAAAACAGGGAGGTGTTATATAACGATTTCATTTTGTTTGGGACTATTATCACAAAAATAACAGATCAAGTAACTTTCTGTAGGAAATTGTTAGTGGTTAATGGGGTCAGTTGTTTTTGTAATGGCTGTTTGCGATAAAGAATCAGAAAAAGAAAGTTAGTTGATCTGAGTATACAACATCATGCTATAACAAATAATAAACTGAATTAATTTTTGAATGAAAATATCTATTTAACATTGTCTAATTTTCTAAACACGTGAAAAACTAATAATTACCTTAAAAAATATATGTATCGCTACCGCTTGGTGTAGTCCCGTTAGTCTAAAACAGAATTTTTGATAATTAGTTTTTGATGTGATTTTTTCTAAATATTCTAAGGAATTTTGAAATGCCTGATCATTAATAAAATAATTAATATTAATAATTTTTTAAGGAATATAATTACGAATTAAAAATTTTAGAATACTATATTATTAACTTGTTTCAGATAAATCTACTAAGTTGTTTCACTTTTTTGAAAAATTTTGAAGCGCCTTCACCTTTTTGTCAATAGAACTATTATATTAATAAAACAATATGTATGCAGTCCATATAACGTATTTAAATGAAATATTGTAATACTGACTTCAAAATATATACTTGGGTTAGTATATAAAAATATAAATATGTATTATTTTTTTTGCAATAATATTTTTAGTTTTTTAAGGTTTCTCAAAATGTGAAATCTGAAGATACTGACAGCTTTATTTATCAACAAACAACAAAAATTTATTTTACATTAGTCAAAAAAAAAAATAAAGAGAGTATGAAGAAATTTGAAGTTTTGTCTCTCTATTGTATATCTCGGGATATCTGGACTAAAAAAACGCATTCACCTTTTTATCAAGAATATCGCCCCAGAATATTTACAAGATCCAAGAAATATTCAAAATGTGATGTTCCCTATAAAAACTGTGTAATATAAACTTTATAACTAAAACGAACAATTTGTATATGTTATTATTTTATATTACATACTTTACTCTTTTTTTACGTTAAAGAAATATGCCTCTTTGACATTAGATTTTTATTTAAATATATTTTTTTTTGTAAAATACTCTTTAAAATTTGTTTTTATTTGTATGTGTATTAACTTCTATACAATAACTTTTTGGAAGTATCCAGCATTGCATAATTTGCATGGTTTTGATTTTAGATTAGATTCCTAGAGCTAGCTATCGGCCTTTTGGTTTTGATCTTACTTTAATTGTTTTCTGTAATTTATTATGGACAAATAAACAAAGTATTTGACGAAAATAAATGTATTTATTATTTTGCTTTGATTTATAAGTCCATAAACAATAAAATTTGTTTTCGTCAAGGCATATACTGTATGGCAAGGCATATACTGAAAATTTTGTCTTATAAAAATTTGAATGCTATTTTAATATATCTACATTTATATTCTTTATTTTAACATAATGTTTTTGTTTAGTTTGATTTAAATTTTAGTTTTAGGAAAATATGTTTAATACTAAAATATTATCGTTTCGTACCACTCTAATTAAAATTTTATTTTTATTGGGATGTATTTTCATTAAGTTCATAATATAAATAAACAGCAATATCAAATTCAACGTTACTAATATGTAAAACAAAACCACAACAGAGTAGATCTATCAAAAATGAATCCGCAGATTAAGTAGTTAATTAAGTAAAATAAAAAGCTATTAGTATTATCTTTACCGATCTGCTTCTGACAGTTCATATTCACCTCACATCACTCCTATTTTTGTCTCTATTAAACATCTATCTCTTGTCCTATATCGTTGAATTTTAAAGTAGCGTATTCAGTCTTTTGTTTCTGTTTTTTAGCGTGTCCTTTCGTCGAACCCGAGCTAGAACTTTCGTGCGAACTCTTCCTGCTCGACGGCATGTCCAAGTCAGCGTACTGGACAACACCGTTCTGCTTGGGATGCGGTAGTATCCCACCTCTAGTATTAGGCAATATGGGCTGTGGATACTGTAACTGCACCGAATTCTGAATATTCTCCTGGAATTGATCGTTCGCGTGCCTCAGTACCAACGGACCTTTAGTTTTCTGCTTCGGTTTGTCCCGTTTATGGTTCCTGGTACCGTGGAGGCTAGTGGTGCTGGAACCACCTGCGGGGTACTCACTGACGTATCCGTTACGCATCAAGTTCTCCTCGTGGATATTTTTGATAGGCTGGAAGTAGCTCTCGGCCGTTTGAAACTTGAAACTGTGACATTTCTGGAGCGGAATTTGGAAATGTCGTTTGTGCTTCGACTTGCTGGAGAAGCTTTTGCTCTTGGCGAGCTGTTCTTGGAAGAGGGCTTTGGGCATTAACTTGGCATGCTTCTGGTGGGGTATTGTAGCTGAGTATTGCGGAGGTAAGATGGTTTGCTTGCAGTGGGGGGTTGTTAGGGTATAGAATGCATTCTGCAACAAAGCGTTAGTGGTGGTTAGTTTAGGTTAGTTTAATGTTAGCTATTTGTTATTTTCAAACTTATAGCGTTTCTTTACTTAAGTAAATTATATTTGGTTTATGTGTGAACCTTATATTGTCTAACTAGCCTAGAACCTGTAGAAATTATAAACAAAATATAAATGTGCATTACACAGATCAATTTTACAGGGTGTTTCGCAATATCTTCTTAATTATTGACTTTTGGCCTAACAGTTATACACTCCTCAGTACGAAAAACGGACACCTTAAAATTTTGATGTATTTTAAAGTTTAATATATTTTGTTCTAGTAGGCCGGTTTTGTTGATATTTCAAGCCATTTGTAGGTAAATTATTTCACTTTTTAGTATCTCTTAGTATCTAAATTAAAAATGAAAGTTTCCATCTGTGAATTATACGAGGAGAAACAAAAAAAAGTCCAATAATCACCTCCTTAAATATTAGCGTATCATTAAGGAACACCCTGTATAATTTTAACATTTTTAATAGAAACATCTATTATATGTGTTTTTTAAAGAATATGCATGATATTTAGATGTCTTTTGGATGTTTAGTTTTTGTCTCGTTGCATTCATATAAAAGTTATTTATACAAGTACAGGGTGGGTCAAATTCGACGCTTTTAAATGGAAACAACCTTTTCTATAGGAGATAGACAAAAACTAATATCGGTGTCTGGAGCTCAATTTTTGTCAAAAACATGATGGTGAAAACCGCATATCGATGTCTGTTACCGTTTCGGAGTTACGGGGTGTTGTTCTAAAATATGCATTTTTAATAAATCGCTGTAACTTTTTTGCTATGGAAAATGTTGTATTTTTATGAAAACAATTAATTCCAAAGCACCTTTTTACGTAAAATTTAACGGTTTAAGTATAATTTTTTTAAAATTAATAATTTAGGAATTATCAACAGAAAATTTGATTTTTTATATGGGACACCCTGTATATTTTTAATTTATTGAAAATAATTTAAAATTACCTTTCCAAAAATATAACACACTTGATATTTTGCTCGATTCCTTTTCGAGATATAGAGTATATAAAAATTGGCCCGCTTTAAATAAGTAGGCTTTGAACGGCACCGGCTGTAATGCAAAAAAATTCTAGATGTGAGCATCAATTAAAACGAAAGTGATATTTGCTATGAGAGATGCAGAATTTTATAACAATTTAAAATATATTTAACCAACATCAACACATTTAAACTATATCTAATAACAATAAAAATAAATAGCAAACCAAGATATGAGATTTTGCTACAGGAGTTCGACATATCGAGCGTCTTTTGTTATGGACAGAGGGGGCAGTTTTTAAACATTTCTCGCGGAATTCATTAACTCAGTGGGGGTGAAAGATATCCTCTCATAACTGCTAAGTATTTCTAATTCTTGTCTAGATTATACAGAAGAATAAGGAACCTTTGTTCTTCCTCAAATATATCCATAGGATTAGATCCATGGGCACTAAGTCAGGCGGCCTCGACGGCCAACGGCTGAGATCTTCCTACCCAAGTAGCAAAAAGAAATTCTAAAAGGATTGAAGTATTTTATAATAGTCGAACAGCGTTGTCTTAAGGACTGCATGATTTTATTAAGCGTTTGGTTTCAACCATTCTGTTTTTTAATTAAAGTTGTCATATTAAACTATTTTCTAGTGGTTTTTACAACGTATCCTATAACGCATTAAACGATAATTTCTTTTAGTATGATATAACACTTAATAAGGCAATGCTACATGATAACAAACATATTATTTTATTAGACCCTTATACCCAACATGTAAAAGTTCTATAATATTCATATAGTAGTCACAAGATCATATACTAGTTACTTAAACTTGTCTTATTAAAGTTGTATTACGTTGTATGATAGAATGTTTTATTGCGTTAAACTACGGTGCTGTATACAACACCAGTTATATAGCCTTATATGATAAAATTGTGATTAACAAAATAAATTCGCTGTAATATCTGCATTATAAAACTGGTAATGTATAATATAACCTCATTTTAAATTAAATGGTATACCTAGTTATTTATTTATTGTTGTTGTTGCAAAAGTAATATCTACGTACGAGTATAATCAATCACATCTATTATGAATTCTGGACAAAGTTGGAAAAAAGTTAACAAACGCAGTGGTAGTTATAAAGAGCATGTAAGAAAAAACTCCTCGAAATTACGGCAAATAATCCCGAGAATTCCCTGGGTTCCCAAAAGCCAAAATCTCGCGGGTTGTCTGGCTTCTTCAAAGCATTGTTGCCACGTTGATGTAAAAGTTTTACTGTAGTAATGTTTGTATTGTTTTATTGTTGTTTTTCCAAGTCCTTAGGTTGCCGCTCACACGTCGGGCACGCATGAAATGCATTGCGTGCACGAATCCATGAAAATCTGATCACGTTTGTTAGTTTAAATATTAATCAAATGTGATTTGGCAACATCTATTTGTCACAAATCTCAATATGTCCAAAATAGTTCTCTAGTGCCTGGAAATTCTGCGTAATGATAGATATTTATCCTATACCGTTTTATTTTACAACAAATACTTATTTAAGGGATTCATTTATAATAAAATGGTTGCATTATAATTCGCCATGTTTAAGACAGAATTTTTGTATGGCCTATGGCCGCCATTATATGAAGCAAAATTAAAAACATCAAAATAAATTGTAAAATGTTATTTTTGAGAACTATTTTGTGATAAGATTCCCACATACAGTAATAAAGTGTTTAATTAAATTAAAAACAAGAATTGTTGAAAATTTTATTTTATTTTATTGTTTAAATTTATACGTAAATCTTAATCGAAATAAAATTAAAATAAAGCGCTTTAATTTTTTGCCAAATACATACCTATAATCTACCAGTAAAATTTTCGGCGCAACAAAAATTGTCCCTACTTTTCAAACCCTATTAATTATTTTTTATATTTCATATTTCTTGTACCTTCTGGCTCTACCCGCCATTTTCATTGTCGAGTAAAGTCTCCTTTTTAACAAAACACATCCTCTAGATTCATTTTACGACACACTTAAAATATAATTTGCTCCTAATATTCTTTGGTAAAAAATAAAATACTCTTTTACCTCGCTAAATGATCAAATGTTTTTATTGATCTGTTTCTTAGATGTGACCACGTAATACACAATAAAACAAGTTTTATAATAGTTATATAACGCTGTGTAAAATAGTTGCATAAGAGTTGTATACCCTTTTTATAGAACTTCTATACTACTAAACGGTTGTATAAAAAAGGGCCTTTTTTGGTTGTAAAGCTATCATATTACGGTCTTATAGCACGTTATATGAATTGAGGTATCCTATAAAAATTATCACATAGCTGTTTATATAGCCTTTATAAAATAAAATTTGCTACTTGGGTATTCAATTATTCTTGAAATTGGCTGCAAAAATTTGCTGATAACTTTAGCGTTCTGAGGCGGTGCGTCGTCGTCCTGCCTGAAAAATATGTTTTCGAGTTCCATTAAGAGCATATCATCAATAAGGGGTCCAAAGCCTACTAGTTAAAAGTGGCGAACTTTTAAAAATTCTGTATTTCGAAGGGGATTATAACAAAATATCAAGTGTGCATATCAAGTATCAATATTTTTGGAAAGGTAATTTTAAATTCTTTTCAGTTAATTAAAAAAATAGAGGGTGTCCCAAATAAAAATTCAATTTTTCTGTTGGTAACTCTTAAATTATTAATTTTAAAAAAATTATACTTAAACCATTAAATTCTATGAAAAAGGTGCTTTGGAAATGTTTTCATAGAAATACAAAATTTTCCATAGCAAAAAAGTTACAGCGATTTGTTAAAAATGCATATTTTTGAAAAATACACCGTAACTCCGAAACGGTAACAGATATTGATGTGCGGTTTTCACCATCATGTTTTTGATGAAAATTGAGCTCCAGACACCGATATTAGTTTTCGTCTATCTCCTATAGAAAAGGGTGTTTCCATTTAAAAGCGTCGAATTTGACCCACCCTGTACATTATATTTATTTTCGTGGTGATATTTACAGAAAAATAACATTGAGATTATCTAAATTATTGATTTAAGTACACATTATATTTTGTTTATATATTTCGCCAGCAAGTAATATCTATAATTTATATAAAATATTTGCGCTTTTTAAAGCTTAAAATAAACGTTCATTTATTTATATGTAAGCTTGTGAATTATGTATTTGTATATATTTTAAAATTCTGTTGATCTTTCTATAACAAATAACTGCAAATATTTATGTGCATTTATTTCACACGAACGACAAATTCTCTAATACAAAAAAATAATACAAAAAAACAAAACAAACCTGGCTAGTAGCATTAGCACAAACACTGGGATTTATTTGCTTTGAATTCAAATGATTTGCTTCTTTGTTTTTGTTAATACTATTTCTATTAGTATCATTTGTCCCGCTGTCTTTGGTTTTATCTTCAGATTTGTTCAAAATTGTCCTGTTCGTGTTGTCTGATGGACTCTGAATAGGAGAAGCTTTCCGTTTCGCTTGAATTTGTAATGACAAGGCTCCTTTTGGACTTTGCACTTTTGGTTTTATGAAATTGGGGCTTACTTTTAACACCGGTGAATTTTTCATTGCTTGCGTTGAGATTTTTGGCATCGGACTTATGGACTGGATCGTTTTTGGACAAACTGCTACTAATTTAGGAGAGTGACCTATAACTTCCGGTTTCGTTTTTGGTTTATCGCTAACACTATTGTTTGAAGCATCTACATTATCTTTGGTTTTCGGAGTAGATCCGTTAAAATTAATTAATGGCTTCGAATCATCTTTGGTATCATTAATATTACTAGGAACATGTACTTGGACTTCTGTAGTAGATGTTTCACCGGCAGTGCTATTCTCTTGACTATCACTAGACCCGTTTGGAGAACCATTGAACGAAATATTTCTCCTTAGAGAGTCACAAATATTTGCGTAGATAATCTCAGGTCTTTTGTGCTTCCTGCATCTTGGTGCTGGTACAGGAACACCATTGTTTTCATCCATACTTTGCTCGAAAATCTGTATACTATCTGTTAGGTTTTGAAATTCGTTTTCAGAACTGTTAGATACGTTATTTTGGTTTGGCTTTGGTGTTTGACTAAGACATTTTTTCGGCATGGCATATACGATTGGACGTTTTTTGGCATGCTTTTTACAACGCATCGAATAAAACGTTGGTGAATAACATTTATGTTTTTCTGTTTTCAAAGACGCGTATTTCTTATTGGTTAATACACTTATCTTTGGTTTACTAGTAGTTTCTTTGGTATTTTTCTCAGCGACTGATTCCCTTGTTTTGAATTCATCGATTTTGCTTCCCGAAGCCGATCTTCGTAGCTCAAAGTTTGCTTCGTTTCTACCGGATACTCTTGGAGCACTTGGTTTCGTTACCAATGGAAAATAATACTGATTCTGTTGATAGTTGGTCTTCGAATTTAGATTTTTCGGTATGGACAATGTGGAAAATCGGTTATGTGGCAAAGGAAATGGTGGAATCAGTTGTGGGAAAAAGTTTTGTCTGGATGGGTAACTTGAGGCATTAAAGTTCGGTGTATTTCCCAGAAAATTTGGATTGGCTATTGTCCTCATAAATATACTATATTGCGTAGCCCAAGGTAACTGAGGTTGATATGCTAATTGATGACGAGGACTAGTCTGGAATCCATGAAACGTCTGATTACGTTTTAGCGTGTTTATTTTAGGTCTAGGTCCAATATCAGATAGGGTAGAAGGTATAGTACGATTCAAAGCATCAGGTAAGCACTTATCTTCTTTAGGCAATTTCATACTTGTTCCTTGGTAAAAGGGGGCTATAATTGAAATTGGCTGCAAACAAAAAAAGCAAAACGTGCAACATAAAATAAAAGCATATCAAAAAAGAAAATAGATTAAGCAATAAACAATAAAAGAATTGTGAAATAAATTTCAATATTTTTAGTAGTTTGTGAGTCTCGAGAGGAAAAAATGGTTGGTTTTGAATTAATATAATAATGGTACTTACCTTGTTGGGCGGGTTTTGAATGCCATGGAAGGGCAAGTTTTCATAGAAACCTTTGTCGTTGGGGTCGGCCGCGTTGTTGGAAAGGGGGTGGTCCTGCATATTTCCAACCGGTGGGACACCCCCCTGCCGAATCTTATCTCCGACTGTAGAGGATGGGTTGTGTGGTGCTGGAAAGTGAAGATTTTATTATTCGTAATTTCAGGAAGTAAAAATTATTTTCTTTAAATATAAAGATATTCACATATCGAAATAATGGTAATATAGAGAATATGGTATCGTTTGATTGATTAAAAAAAATCAAAAAGGATTTTTTGTACAGGGTGGGTCAAATTTGAGGCTTTTAAAGGGAAATAACACCCTTTTCTATAGGAGATAGACGAAAACTAATATCGGTGTCTGGAGTTTAATTTTTATCATAAATATGATAGTGAAAACCGCACACGTTATCGTTTATGAGTTACGGGGTGTTCTTCAAAAATGTGCATTTTTAACAAATCGCTGTAACTTTTTGTTATGAGAAATTTTTATTTTTGTGAAAACATTTCCAAAGCACCTTTTTACGTAGAATTTAATGGTTTAAATATATTTTTTTTAATTAACAATATAAGAGTTATCAACAGAAAAATTGATTTTTTATTTGGGACACCTTGTATATTTTTAATAAAGTGAAAATAACTTATAATTACTTTTCCAAAAATATAGCACACTTGATGTTTCGTTATAGTCCCCTTCGAAATACAGAGTTTTTGTAAGTTCGCCACTTTTAACTAGCAGGCTTTGGACCCATTATTGATGATCTATCCCTAATGGAACCACACGAGGTACCGCCTCAGAACGCAGTAAAATCGGCAAATTTTTGCAGTCAATTTCGAGAATAATTGAATAGCTAACCAAGATTCCAGCCGTGTGTCCCATATAAAAAATCAAATTTTGTGTTGATAATTCCTAAACTATTCATTTTAAAATTATACTTAAACCATTAAATTCTACGTAAAAAGGTGCGGTGGAAATGTTTTCACAAAAATACACAATTTTCCGTAGCAAAAAGTTACACCGATTTGTTAAAAATGCACATTTTTGAAAAACTTTTGTAACTACAAACGGTAACAGATATCGATGTGCGGTTTTCACCATCATGCTTTTGACGAAAGTTGGGCTCCAGACACCGATATTAATTTTCGTCTATCTCCTGTAGAAAAGGGTGTTTCAGTGTTTCCATTTAAAAGCGTCCAATTTGACCCACCCTGTACAGTCTTCTTTTTTCATATAAGAATATAAGTTGAAGTTTGTCAATTACAGATGTTCTTTTATTTGACAGAATTCGTAATAATTTTAGTATCCAAGATATATTTGATGGCTTGACTTATATTCTTTTGTATACAGATTGACTTAGCGTTCCGAAAAAGCTTTATATAAGATTTTTGGTTGGAGATATTAACTTAACTAATAGTCCCGTCGAGCTACTAAAATCCGTGTGTTATTAGAAGGGGCCCTTTTTTATGATTCTAAATAATTTTCAAGGTGTTAACGTTGAAATTAAGCGTGGAAGTCACTTCGAAAATTTTGGCATTTGGTCGCTACATTAAATTATACCAGCAGAAAAAAAATAAGGGTGTAAATAAAAATAAGATGTTTTCTCTCGGAAACGGTAAGTAGCTAAACGACTAATGAAGCCTCCACGGATAGAGCTAGTGGAGCTCTATATTCTCCCCATTCAAATTCTGTTTTGAAAATGCATAGTTTCCGAGATGTTTAATTTGAAAAATTTCGATTGTCGATTTTCTGAATTTTTTATTTATTAACTTTATCTACTTTTCTCACTTGGTACGGTTAGAAGACGTTAATGTAAGAATTCAAAATGCAATGTGACCCCCTTTTTAAGTTTATGTTGTATTAAAAAAAATCCCGAAAATGAAAAAATCGATTTTTCTCACCCTGTATGTACTTTTTTGACAAACTGTGTATACTAAAAAATTTAACTAATCAATCAGTATAAGTGGAAAAAGCTCGATTTTGGCCGGGAAATTAACAATTCACAATTCTCTAGAAAATTTTATGAAAATTAAAAAATATCCTTCTGTATATTTTGAGACCTTTTACCCGCACATTTAATTTTCAAATAGAATTAATTGTACTAAAGTTGATTTACTGACGTGTGAAATTAAAAATACGGCTGTACTCTTTATATAGAATTGGAATTCCAATCTATACCGGGTGCGTCTCAAAAGGGGCTCACCCCTATAACTTCTTTTATTTTTTCAGATAAAAAACGAGATTTGGTATGTTAGTATATGACATAAATTACGATGATTGCCGCATTCAATTGTTTTCGGTCACTTCCTGTTTCACCGGAAATGACTACAACTTTTGATTTTTAAATGGTACCCTCGGTATTTTTTTACTTTATCTGATAGAAAAAGATCAATCAATCTGATCATATGCCAACTTCTGACACTTTTGCTCTAAAAAACATCGTATTTTAAATTTCAATCTAGAGTGCCATGGCTGTGTTAAAAACACAAATTTTTAATGGGGTTGGTTTGATCATTATACCGAAAAACACCACGAACGGGCTTCCAATAAGTTTGAAGCAGTTTTGGAGGAAATTCTGATGTGGAATTCCTCTTTCAACTTGTATATGATGCATGGTGGTACCAACTGGGGTTTTCTGAATGGTGCCAATATTTTTGGAACAAAAGATAATAATTCAGGTAATATATCATTATTATTTAAAAGAATTATAAAATATGTTTTATAATTGTTTTAAATAATACAATAGACGCACTGTATATGTATAGTGCTTAAAATACCGGGTGCGTCTCAAAAGTTGCTCACCCGTATAACTTTTTTATTTTTTCAGATAAAAAAAACGAGATTTGGTATGTTAATATATGGCATAAATTAGGATTGATTGACGTAGGGGAAAGTGGGGTAAGTTGGCGATGTTAAGCAAAATATAGATTTTTTTATTTAAATTTTCAAGTTACGAGAGTGTTGTATTCTATTTTGATTAACACACACATTTTACTATAAAAAACACATATATTTAAAAATAAACAAATTATTTTAAACTGAACAAAACATGTTTTTTAATATACTGCAAATCTCTTAAAAAATCGTATTTTAAAATTCAGTCTAGAGTGTCATAGCTGTGTTAAAAACACTCATTTTTAATCAAGGAGCCTTGGAAAAATGGATATGATCGTCTAATGTTTTTAGTGTCTTGTCCTGGTCTGTTAAAATATGCCCACACCGTATTTTTATTAATACCTAATTTTTTTCAAATGGAACGAGGGTGACTCATTAGCACATTTCGAAAAAGGCTTTATTTACGAATAATTTGGTACCACACATTTAGTATTTCGAGTCAAATTGTCGTTATGAACCGCATGTTACAATTCCAAATAAACCATATGCGAAAATATAAAAAGTTGACATATGAAATGTCAATCTATTCAGAGTGTCATTTTCTATCGAATAAAGTAAAAAACACCAAGGGTGCCATTTAAAAATCAAAAGTTGTAATCATTTCCGGTGAAACAGAAAGTGACCGAAAACAATAAAATACGTCAGTCAATCATAATTTATGTCATATACTAACATACCAAATCTCTTATTTTTTTTTATCTGAAAAAGTTCTATAACTTTTTCTTTCTATAACCCTTATGGGTGAGCCACGTTTGAGACGCATCCGGTTATTAACTTGGAATATAAACTTTCTCAATATTATTTAGACATATATTATTTATTAAGGGGTAAAATGCAAAAAAAAACATAATTTATATGCATTAGACACAAAAATATTGCGTGAATTTAATCTGAGTAATCTTTATTATCCACTATCGATATAATAAATCTGTTTCCACACATGCAAACTTTTTACTACTCGACTATACACAATTTTTTCCATGTCCTTTTTTTCTACTCGTCATTAAAGGGTGCTTAAAGTAAAAAAGCCTAACACTATTTCCCACTTGAAATTGTCATAAGCCGGAAAGCTTCATGCGAACAATACCTTACCTTTTAAAAGTTTCTACACTTCCGTAACTAAAAGAAGACTAACTTTTAATGCGGTACCGCGTTTAATGCTTTTTACCGCCGGTAACGGTAAATAGTTAAATTACTTAAAATTACCAAGACAAACATTACGAAAATATGAAATTATTTAATGGGTAGCCTATTAAAGTGATCCAAAATTATTTTTGTTGTTATACTACACGTAAATCTTAGAAAAACGAATTGGGAAGCTACATATAATCGATACCAAATAAACTTTTAGTTACATCATCGAGGGTACGTCGGGAATTTAAAATTTATATTTTTTGTTGGTGAAAACATTTATGAAAATTCTTAGTTGGTGAAAACATAAGGCAATATGATATATACAGCCTCAATGACAGTATGAACGGATGTATACACGCAGTTATATCAGCCAAGCGCGGCAATACAAAGTATTAGGGTATTTTTTACAATTTTTTTTTTCTGTTTGTATACCTGAGTATTACAGATGTTTTCTATAAATCGTTAGTTCTGTTATCATTATTAATGTTTTTTCAAACCCGGACTGTATCGTTAGTCTTTAATGTTTTTTTTTTAACTTAGTATAGATTATCCAGTGCAGTGTAATATAGTCACCAAAACCATCTCGTCATGTTAAAAAATCATTTTTATTTCGATTCTTTCCAAATAATTTTTGAAGTAACGTCAATATTTGGATAAAAATTGAGTTTTTTGACATGATAAATTTGATTCTGATATCAATATGACTCCTACTTGTAGAGGACGCCACCTACATATTTTTTAACTGGTTTGAAGAGTAATAACTTTTCGTCCGTACCTGTATAAAACTACTGAGTAAAAATATAAATTAACAACGTTTTTTACGTAAAAAAGTCTCTTGGTAACAATCGCCACGAGTAATGGTTCTCGAGATATTTGGAATTGAAATTATCAATACCCGTCATCATTGACATAAATTAAACCTGTTGACTAAATCAGCGGCGTGCGGTCCATGAAAGCGGGAGAAGCACCGCTTCCCTAAACTTTTTAAAGATAAAAAAATAAATAGTTAAACGTTAATAATACTGTTATTTTATAACAAAAGATTAATTTAATTTGATAAAATTATTTATTTGAAACCTTACATAAACGTAGTAAATTTAATTAG